CCAGTAGTGTAAGTTGTCAAATAGGTGGTAGGTGAAGTTCCTGGGATGGTGGTGGTTGGGATTTCAGGAGTAGTGGTAACGACAACATACTCAGTAGATGGCAATGAACCAGTGGTGTATGTTGTTAAGTAAGTAGTTGGAGAAGTTCCTGGGATGGTAGTTGTAGGGATATCAGGGACATCTGTGGTTACAACGACGTATTCACTAGTAGGAACGGAACCAGTAGTGTAAGTTGTTAAGTAAGTGGTTGGAGATGTTCCTGAAATAGTGGTGGTTGATAAAGGGGGAACTTCGACAATTACAGTAGCAGTGATATCACCAGTTTCTGTAGGAGTTACAGTAGTGGTTGAACGATAGGTTTCTGTCCATGGTGTTGTAATGGTGGTGGTAGCTCTCACACATCCATTTATCAAACCATTAGAAAAACCTGGTAAGTTATCACTGGTTTTCAATGAACCATCTGGGTATCGGACGTGGAACTTTCCCTGCCCTGTATAACCATAATTGATATACATCAACTTCATAGGATAATAACCTTTTTTTAACGTAACCTGATAACCAGGTTTTGGCAAATCCAAGTATGTTGCCAGCAATATAGGAACGGAACCTGTTAGTTTACTGATACTTCCACAGCAGTTGAAATCACTAAAAGGGTACAAATAAAGTGCAGCAGCATCATCTGCCAAATCAAATGCGAAAGTATAGGTACCATCTTGAGGAGCATAAAAATATCCGGTTGCTCTCAGACCAAAAGAATAAAGTTTAAGATATTGACCGTCGTAAAGGTAGCCATAAATTGATCTGTTTGTGGGAAAAATGTATTCAGCAGTTATATTTTTGATATTGTAAAAAGTATAATTGGAAGTTCTAGCATCTAACACGTTAAGGAATTCCAGACAAGTGGTCCCTCCACAGTCTGAAACAGTAGTGTTATAGTAATCAACTGTCCATCCTTCTGTAAGGTTGGTGATTTCACAGTTACCGACCCTTTCAGCTCCAATAATAATAAATGTAAAGCAGAAAGTGATCAAGCTGAGCAACATTTTTTGTCTAATACCAGTCGGATATTTGTTCTTTATTTATAATCTTATGAACCTAGGAATTTCATGACAATGCAAATTGGCTTGTATTAATTCTTGATAGTTAAATGCAGGTTTTTTGGAAATTTTAAATTGAAGGAAATTAAAGGGAATCGTAACTGGAGAAAGGATAGACGAACTTACAGGTGATTTGTTTTCTAATCGAACTTGCCTGCTTCCAGCATTGACAAAGCAAATTCATTAGTATCTAACTTCTTTCGTCTGTCAAAAGTCCTTAGGAGAACTAATGAGTGTTACTTCCACTTACAAGAGATGCAGGGTTTTGCAAAGGTTGCCTGTATCTCGTTATTGGAGTTATTAATAGAACTATCATAATAATTCCCTATGAGGTATTGAGTTTCAAAGGGATACAAACGCTTTCATTGACAAGAATCAAAGTCAGCCAATCAAAAAATAGAAAGTCAGCTTAATTTGACAACAGCCCATCAATAAGTTCTTTATTATGAACTCAAGAATTATGAATTACCCAATATAGACTTTCGTTACCTCAAATAAGTAAACGTATCTTTACTTAAATACTCATGAGACGATGGTCATTATTCTGAAAGGAAAGCCTCGTAGAAGATGTGTCCTGTTTCATCCCTTTTATGTTCAAATGTGCATGAATCCAACAAAATATTCTCTGAAACGGGAAATTTTGTGAATTGTAGTTCATATAAGGCTTGAAAAAATAATTCAATGATCCGGAACAATGGGATGTTGACAATTAAGGATATATTTTGTAATTACGTGATCAAGAAGACCCCTTTCACGAGCCCAATATCATATCACTGAGACAAAGGTTTTCTTATTTTGGATGTTTTGTTTCCGAAATAGGTGTGTCCTAGAAAAGGAGTGAACCTGTGGTATTACCGGACAGGAAGTGAAACACTTATTTGTCTTTGGTTATTCAGAGAAGCAGAGAGCTACGAATCATCGGCACATGCTTCGATTTTCCGCTCGTCACAGACTTTAAACGAAATCATTATTATCAATGTGATAAGATTTCAACCAATTGTAATTCACCTGAGAGGTGAAATCAACCAAACAATTGGGCTTGTTCGTTGTTAAATTGATTGTATAACACAGGTGTACCTACCAAATCAGCGAAACTTATTTTTTATCTTTTCCAGACGATACTTTGATGTGAGACTGTGTATAGGTGTTATTGTTGAAAAGGTAACATTATCGTGCACTGGCTACATAATGCATCAGGTTTGACTGAGGTCCAGCAGACAAAGTTCCAAACATTTTTCCTAGACAGGAAATAAAGATAAGATCTGCAATTATTCCTTTGTTTGCGGACTCTTCAGGATGGAATTTGTTTACATAAGGTTGCTTATACGAGATATTTAATTACGAGGATGGTAACCAGTAAAGTTGAAGCGAGAATGCAAAGAGGCATAAGAATTTTAGATTTTTAACAATCCTTGCCAACTAGTTACGTATTAAGCTATTCCGCAAATAAAATTCCAAGAATTTTAATCAATTTTTTACTTTTTCAACCAGCGGCGTAACATTTCCGTCGTATATGATCCACTCCACGAGTGTTTCCGCACCAAGGTGGAAAAAGACCCTCATTTAGGAAATATCAACCCGGTAATATCTTATTGCACATTGAGTTTGTCGGCATCTATCATTCCTGTTTGTGAGAATAATAAAGCCTATTATTGGGTTATGGGCGAGTTTCGCGGAAATGACTGCCAGTATTTCAATAAGGGCTCCGACAATCATTGAGCAGAAATATGCTGTAATAATTCCGTTCTCTGGTTTAGTCAGCCTACTTGAATATTCCAAATGTTTAAACCCAATTGGAATTTGAGAATTCAACCGAAGTGCTTGATTTCGTATCCAAGGCGTGTATCGAGAAATTATATCGTGAGGTACAGATTGAACCAGAATATTTTCACGTAAAAACATGCGCTTTCATTTTGGGATTTATGGGAATGTGAATAGACACACACCCGGAAGACTTCCCTTTGGTGAACATGTTCGGATTCGTTTCATTTAATTGTGTTTTATTTGTGTTTCGATTTTCTCAGTTCTGAGACTTATGATGAGCTTTGGTGGATTCGATTGATATAAAAATCACTATAGTATGCGTTCAGATAAAAAAGATCAACTTTTGAAAGACTGGGCTGATGGGTCTGGATTGCCCGTGAACACGCTCAAATAATGAAAGTAGAACAACTTGATGCACAAAGAATATAGGTTTATCTGCCAAGGATTTGTTTGTGATCCCACATCAATGACTACTAGAGACGACCATTCCAAGTACGAGATTCAGGCTGAATATGTCTTCTTTTCCAAGTTACCCGTTTATCATATTACTACTTTTATCTAGGAAACATTTACCGTAGTCCGCTACAAATTGCCAGCATTTTGTGTGTGTTTATTGTTTTGCAAACTACGAAGTTTGATAAGAAAGGTATGTCCAGGATAGGGTAACAAACTTTTACAATTCCGATGCAAAGTATTATACACAGGCAGGCGCCATCGTGATACAATTGGGGATTGAAGAATTAAAACGCATCCTCACCTTTCAGTAAAACTGGTTTATCGAACATTCCCGTAGTTTCATATCCCTGCCGACAAATCTTACCTATTTTGTTGAGCCGACTACCATTTTTTTGACCATTTAATCTCTTTTTTGCTGACTACGGCTCACCAAGTACACGAGGATTATGAGCCTCGATTCTCGTAAGGCATTTGATCACCTCTATCACTGCTATTTGGAATACATGCGGTAAACTCAGGGATATCCATTGAGATGATTTACATGACCAGAGAGTTATCTTTTGAGCAATTTGTGCATGTACAAATCAACCAATATCTTGGCCAACCACTTGCCAAAGAAAAATTGATTAAGACAAGGTAACTCGCTTCCCCCCATCTTATTTAGAAGGGCATTAAGACCATTTCTTCTGAATTTCATTGAGACACAAATTCAGGAGAGCAGAATCTCCATCATCACTAGTCCCATTTCAAAGTCGATGCATTTGCTGAAGGTGTAACTGTTGCTCGGATGATCGTATGACTCCTGAGAGAACTGTATTGGAACTTGTTGTTCAAATTGGGGTATCTCCCTTCGACATACCAACTCCTAATCCTTCAACAATGCTGCATCGTCACAACCACACGCACTTCTCACTTCATGGGAACTGAACGTTTCACTTAACGGGACGAGACGAATTTAAGATCTGGGTAGCTACATTTAATGGGCTGACCATAACATGAATCGGACATTATTTCAATTTGATTTGTACACTTCTGTCAGTATTCATTGGAATTTGTTACTTTCTCAATCAATTCATTATGTCTGGAAACCTTTCTATGCGTTGCATCGTCTAGGACTCAATGGAAGTGCGGCTGCGTTAATCGGATACTTTAAATTCATCTTTAAATCCAAATTCAACATAATAAGTACAAACTGGTTTCATACCCCACAAACAGACAAATAATTGGCCTCATTTTATCTTTCCGCCAGCTTAGGAAACATCGTGTAGAAAGAATTATACCACTTTGCCTCTACCACAATGAATTCGTTTTCGTGGATTTCTTCGACATACTCACAAATTTAGACCTGAGAAATCTCACCTGTGTCACCTAGAGGATTGTCATTTTTCCCGCAAGAAAAAAGAAATCCTTTGGATTATCAGGCGACTTGTTCTTCCATCAATCCCTTATCCATTATTGGAATTCTTGCAATTCGTGATATATCCTTTTTTCTCACCAGCTTGTTTCTTACAACGATTGATAAGATTCATCTCCATATGATCAACCTTGAGGATACTGTTGCCGTAAATATCACAGAGGATGAAATTTCCAATCTTCGAATCAACTCAATAGATGAAGACACAATTTCGGCAGATTTCAAATTGACTTAAGATGATCTCACCCAATAAAGTTATAGATCCGGGTTCTCGGCCACAGAAAGATGAGTTTCCACTCTTGGTCAACCGAGATGATTCTGAGTAATTTATCAAGGAGGACCAACCCATTTCATATACAATATTGAACCAATCAATTTTTTCAGTTCAAGGTTTTACAACTTGCATGATTTGGGACACTATTAGGTTCCCCCACCTCTTGGAAAATCAAGACTTACTCGTTTGCGGATAGAATTTTTGCCCCTTGTATAAAGCTAGTCAACCATACAAATGGCCTCTTTCAGATGTAACCACATTAATGGGGTCTCTAACATATCTGATTAAGTATGTCACTTTTCAACCGTCCTCCACCTCTTAAAGCCGATCTCTTCCATTCGCTAAATGAGAAACATACTTCAATATGTCACATACTTGCTTGTAATTCTCCATCTAGAAGACTGCTTCCAGGTGAAACATCAAATCAACAGTTTCTTGCAACAATTAATTGAATTGAATCATGGGTGAATGCAATATTCACCATTGCTCAATCCCTCTAACTCAAGAAAATCAAATTATTTCACAAAAGTTTGTTCAATTTGCCAAATCAACCTTTCTAAAAACTATTTTGATTGACCGTACCATATGTGTCATACCGCTTTTATCATCTCTTTGTCGAATCAATCACGCTTAACCAGCCTTAATGAAGGTTTGGTGTACCGAGGTGCAGTTTTTCGTGGGGATTAAAATGTTTTGCAGCAGATTCATATGATTGCGAGACGATGAAAGAAGACATAATTTATGCCAACTTTCAGCCTACTGAAGCTAAGCTTCTTAAGAATGGGTCAGGTAGTCAGCTACTAATTGACAACCCTATCCTATCGTCAGTTTTATCCAAAATCTTCCCTTATTTGCTTTTGATTGATAATGTACTAGAGATTCTTACTTGGACTAACGAGGATTTGTACCTGAACTTATTACTTATTATTTTGTACAGTATTCTTATAATGTATTGGAATTACATGAATTTGGTTGTGATACCTATCTTGGTCACACTTTGTTTCGGCTATATCATTTGGATTATCAATTCAATTGTTTATGATACAAAATTCAATGAAAAGCCTACAATTGACGAGATTTTATCAGTATTACATAATATCACCATCAGATTCGAAATGATTCTTAGACCAGTGGCTAGGACGAATTTAAAGTTGAGGAACTTTCTCCAAATATTTATAGTATCTTTAATTTTGATACCTATAAATTTCTTGATAGTGACGTATATTTTGAGTCCTCAGAAGTTCTTATGGTTGTTTGGAGTGTTCTTATTAACATACCATTCACCATGGTCATTTTCTATAAGGAGATTATTATGGAGATCAATTTACATAAGAGTGTTTGTTTTTTATTTGACAGGTTTGAATATAAAATTAGATGCTAAGAATAATAAGTTCAAGTTCAATGACGAAAAGAATGATACTGATGTTACCAGCAATGATTTTAAGATTCTTCAAAAGAAAATCGAAAGTCCTACTAGATTGAATCAAGTGGTCAAGTTCGAGGTATTTGAGAATGAAAGACGATGGATTGGCCTTGGTTGGTCAAAGTTCTTATTACCAAGTGAAAGAGCCAATTATTGTACAACATCCCTTAAAGAAATTCCTGATATCAACAGTTTTACCCCACCTGTTTACAGTAATGATTTATACAACTATAAATGGGAATGGATCGACAAATCCTGGGTCATTGACAAGGAATTTAGCAAGAATAAAAATAATGGATGGATCTATTCTGATAATAATTGGGAGAATGATGAACTCTCTGACGGTTTTTCCAAGTTCACTCGTTCGAGAAAGTGGTATAGGACTGCCACATTAATCATCGATAAGAAATTGAACGTTTATGATGAGTAAATAAAAAACGCTACACATGCATATGAAATACATATTATCATGATGTTGATTTGGTGGTCTGATTGATTAAATTTTTCGAATTATCGATCACAAAGTCGAAACAATTCTGTCTCTAAATATCTCATTTTCGCGGAGGATAATTTTTCAAGATGGATCCAAGTGAAGAAAGTATCCAAACTAAAGGATCAAGGGTAAACGGTAAAGAATGGAAAGAAGAAAAGAAAGCATTCAGAGTCAAGAGTTTTGGTGTTAAGAATAAGAAATTCACTGATTTTCAAAGAAGAAATGAAAAGAAACAACAAGAAGATAACTACAAAGCAAGACTTAAAGAATTGAAACAAGAAAAAGAGGACTTGAAAACTCAAAGAATTAATGATTTGAAAAGAAGAAGAGAAATAAAGGCTGAAAAGGAAAGATTCGAAAAGATGGCTGAAAAGATGAATAAAAGAAAGATTGAAAGATTGAGAAGAAAAGAGAAACGTAATAAATTATTAAAAGAACGTTAGACATAGCACTTTTTTCCAGTTTAAATGGCATTCAGTCATTTTTGTATCATTATAAGATGTATATTTCATCATAATCTTACCATATAACTATAATTCCACCAGCATATAAATCAAGATTGCACTTCGTTAATGAGATGAGGGTTACCCGGATTTGGTTCAAAAGTATATAAAGACGGCAAAATTCCCTTTTTTCGCACAATTGATTTTTTGTCGCACTAATTGAAATTCAATTGAATAGATACTGGGATTCATTAATTTGTAATCTCTAATTATATTTCCATATAACATTTAATACATAACACATTAGTATACACATAATCATCTCCTCAAATTAATATGGACTCATTTAATTTACCTACGACAGCTAAAAAGGCAAGTGCATTCACAGGTCCCAATTCATTATCAATTCCTCAAAGTTTGAATGAAGATTTAAAGAAAGAAGAATTAGATATCATAGAACCCAAAACAGAAGACAATGAAGGTTCTGCTTTAGGTATTGTGCCTACCTTACAGAATATTGTCGCCACTGTAAATTTGGATTGTAGATTGGATTTAAAAACTATCGCGTTACATGCTAGAAATGCTGAATACAATCCTAAGCGTTTTGCTGCTGTCATTATGAGAATCAGAGATCCAAAAACCACCGCATTAATCTTCGCTTCTGGTAAGATGGTTGTTACCGGGGCAAAATCTGAAGATGATTCTAAATTAGCATCAAGAAAGTATGCAAGAATTATACAAAAATTGGGTTTTAACGCTAAATTCACTGATTTCAAGATTCAGAATATTGTCGGATCTTGTGATGTTAAATTCCCAATCAGATTAGAAGGTTTAGCTTTCTCCCATGGTACTTTCTCGTCTTATGAACCTGAATTGTTTCCTGGTTTAATTTATAGAATGGTTAAACCTAAAATCGTATTATTGATTTTCGTTTCTGGTAAAATTGTTTTAACAGGTGCAAAACAAAGAGAAGAAATTTATGCAGCTTTCGAAGCTATTTATCCCGTTTTAAGTGAATTCAAGAAAAGTTAATTTCACTTATTCAATGATTCATATCTAAACGGTTATTTAACGAATTTTGTAAAATAGTAGGTATTGCTTTCAATACATCAGATCTATTGGTGATAGAAGGGTATAGGTAATATAAAATTATAAAGGGATTGTGTATATCTTTATTTGCCATGATGATTTTACTCTCAGAGTACTACAATATACGACTTATGATATATCTATGGGAAAATGATTCATTTGTTGAACCATTTAAAGTAGTTGCAATTACCGTCTTCGAATGAATCCTGTTTGGAGCAGCACCAAAATTTCTTTCCTCTTGATTTAGTGTTAAGACTTGTCTTTAATTGACATGGTATACCATGATTGCAATTCGGAGGCTTCTCCAATGTATTTCTGAAATCGTTTTTCTGTGGGCCTGGTTTGATGTGATTCAGAGAGTCGTATATGTTGGCTTGACTGGCTATGTCCATTTCAATCTGCTTTTGTGATTCTATTTGTGATTTGGATGCAAAGAAGGTGCTTATACCTGGCTGGTCGTTCTTTTTACGAGATTTGTAGACAGCTTTCTCTTCAGAATCCACCAAATTTGGTTGTTTTCTTTTGACAGACTTGAACATGGTGGAAATATCATGATGACGTACAAGTTTGTAAAAGTTTTTCACTTCAAATTCGAGCTTTTTATTAACATATTCTCCATTCTGGGTCATTTTGAAATCCGTGAAGATGGGACAATGATCCGATCCATTTAGAAATGGCCAAACATTACTCTTAGTGAAATTCTTACTACTAGATAAAATCAAGTCTATTCTAGACCCAAAATTAGTCTGTCTTGAGTTTTTCATTGTATTCCATACGGTGTAAACTCCCATTTTCCTCCCCAATCTCACTCTAGTTGTATCATACAAAAATTGAGTATCAAACTTAACGCCTGGATGATCACCGATCGTTGGATGAACATACTTGTTGAGTAGCTCTCTCGATTCACTCAGAAATTTGAATTCCATGCATTGTGGTAGATTCTTCTGTTCAAAAATGATCCCTTCATTGTGATAAGTGATCCTTTTCTGTTTGAGAAGGTCGCTTATATTCTCAGCACGATCTATCAAGTCTAAACTAACATTGATGTCCCCCACAATCATTACCTCCTTCCCCATCTCTTTTAGATTCTTACACCTTTCAAGCAAAATCTTCGTGAATTTCAATTTGAAATCAGCTCCTTCTTCGGATCCCATAGAATTTGCAGGACAATATAATGAGAATATCACCAAGTTATTACTCAATTCAATAACTATGGATCTCCCCTCGCTGTCAATTTTCAAAGCTTCTTCTTCTTCCATATCTGGATATCCACCAATTCCATCCAAATCTTTGAATCTGGCTTTGTTAACCTTTAAGAATCCTGTGAGACCTTCTTCAGCCCTAACAACGTTTAGATTGTACTTTACCAAATCACTTTCTTCATCCTTGGGTATCCTCACGAACAACCCCACTCCACTGTATCCTTTTTTTAATTTGGGTATCGTTACAAACGATCTATAATTCTTTAAACTCATATCATTGATAGAATCTTTGTCTAGTTTGAGTTCTTGAAGCGATATAATGTCTGCTTTGAGGTCTTGTAGTACTGTCTGAAGAGATTTATTATTCCATGGGTGATAATTGAACAACGTCTTTATCCCATTAACATTAAACAGAACCACTCTCAAATCGCCGTGGTCTTTACTGTCAATCTTCGATAAGACATCTTGACTTCCGGTACTAACATCCTTCACATCAGGTTCACTACTCCTCTCATTGATGAATATTTCATCTTCACTATTTGCAGCTATTCGGTCAGAACCTGTTGGTTCGAGGTGTTCATTTATATTGGCATTTTCTTCTTTATCAGTACACCCATTCATGAAGATGTTACACAAAACGAAAAAGATCTAGAGGCGCGTTTCAACGCGAAAATTTTCATATCGACCACTCTTCTGAGATATAGGCAGTGATTTATTGAACACTATCATAGTCAGTTGTTAATTGATTCCTTCAAGTCGATACCGTTGATATCATAACATCAAATTTTTCGAGAACAATTGCCCAAATTTATAGAATAGGATCTCAGAACCCCTGATAGAAGACAGAACATTACCCTAGACTTTAACTCGCATTAATAAAAATATCAATATGATTGAAGAAGGCTTGAAAAGATCTCCTTTCCAGTCACAAGAGGATTACAATTTATCCAATACCACTCCGGAGCTTTTGAAATTTCAATTACAAGAGGAACATAAAAGTAAGATTAAAGAATTGGAAGATAACGAAGATAGTGGTATAATCAATGAAAGTAATTATAGTTTATATTTGCAGAACAAACTAGATGAAGGAGATATATCTATTGAAGAGATCTCCAGTTTACTTTCTGATAGTTCGAATGAAGATGAAGACAAGCCCAATTACCTCAATCTTAAGATCTTGATTGAAAACTCAGCTTTCGAGAATAGTAAATTAAGCAAAACTTCGATCTTATCGATCAAATCTTTGAACCATTTGAAGAGCTCCATCGAGGAAAAGACCAATTTAAAAGATTACTACACTTCGAAGTTAACGATTTCTAAGAAGTTCTTGAGTTTGAAAGACATGAACGATGAAGATTTAATCAAAGTGCTCAAATCTATTAACTTATTGAATGACAAGATTTTTCATTTGAATGATGAAATTAATGATTTAACTGACAAATTGACCAATCACAATTTATCTTGTTTATTATTAGGATATATTGAAGATGTTAAATTGAACAATGTCAACTACTCCACTAGTAATGAAACAATGTCGATATTTGACAAGTTCATTGGTTATATTGCCTCCATCTCAGTTGAAAGACACATTAATTTACCTCAACCTCCCGATAATGAATCATTGGATGATAAATTTAATTGGTTGAAGAATTGCATTGATGTCTTATTGAACAATAATCATGATGTGAACGACGAAACCAATTTAACTATACCCACAAATGCTAACACCCCATCAAAAGATTATAGTTTCAATGACTCTTTGATGTCATTAAGTCCAATCAAAGGTCCAATAAGTCATTCAAATAATTCATCCACTAATGAACAAATGAAGATAATAAACGAATACAAAACTGCATTAAATGACTTGAGATTCAGTCATCAATACCTCATCAAAGAATTCGAATATTCCAGAGAGAATTCTATGAAGATAATCCAAGATTACCGTAAGAAAAATTCATTGTTGGAAAAACAATTGAGTCAGAAAGCTACTAATTCTAATGACACAGATAAAGATCAAGAGATAAGCAAGTTGAAGAAACAGTTAAATAGCTTAAAGATAGATAAATTGAGTGAAATAGAGTCTGGTAGTATGAGTAATGGTATTTTAAGGAAAGAATTCAAAAAAATCGTTAGTGACATTCAAGATCAATACGAAATAGAATTAAACCATGAAAGGATGTTGAGGAAGAAGTTGGAAGATGAAATTGATAATTAGTTATGTACTTTATCTGTACTTTATATGTATTTTATTGTTCTTTACCAAATCTCTATATCAACTCGCGTTCTGTAACGCGGAAAGCTTAACATCTAATGATGGTTCAAAACTACAATGATGATGATGTGGCAGTATTTAATCTACTTCGGCTATCTGAGAGATACTACAACATAGCTAAAAAAAATGTTTTACTGTGTACCACTGTCAAAGGGAATAAAAATTACAGAAAGTTGATTTTTCTTTCCATTAAATCTTTGAAGATTATCTTGAAAACTTATCACCATAGCATAAATCCCCAAATCAGAACCATTGTATTGCTCAAACTTAGTTCAATGTATTATGAAGAGACAGAAAATTATGAATTGGCAGAAACGTATCTCAATGGGTGTTTCAATATCTTAAACTCACACTCCATGAAGAGGTTTGAATTGGTTGCAAACATCTTACTCATAAAAGTTCTTCACAAAACCGACAGAAACTATTGCTTCATCAAACTTAAGAACTTAATGCAACAATATGGCTCCTCTCCGAATTGTTTGGCTGTGTTGAACATCGTTAAAATTCATTATTTCAAAGACAACTTCGAAATTAGCCCAACTACAGAATCTTTGATCAGACAATCAAACGATGAATTACAGGCATACTTTTATGTATTATTATCCCATCATTACCTTAATAACAATAATTTACAAAGGTATGGAGAGTGTTTCGAAGTTATAGATTCCGTTTTGGATAGTTCATCTACTCAAGCAAGATCACCAAATTATTACAAATTGAAGACTATGGCATTTTTCCTTAGATTCATTGAATACTATCTAACAGGTAATCACGCCCAACTTGAGCTGTTACTTGCTGCGGCTCCTAGATTTGGATCGGAAGCTAAACCTGGTTGGCAAGTATTAGATCCTTGTTTCACCTTGAAAATTGATATCTCCGAAAACTTGACACAAACGTCTTTCGTAGAATTTGAAGTAGACTGGATTTGTCGTGATTTGTTTTTGTCATTGTTTTATATTCATATGGGAGTAGTACTGATATATGACAAAGGTCTTTCGAGAGCAATATCTGGAGCAAGCTTTCAAAGTAAGTCTTTCAAAGATAAATTCGAATATCGCTCTTCCCACGAAATCCAAGGATCAAATGCTTTTTTCGATTCTTCATTAAATAAATTTCAGAACTATTATCAAAAGTCACAAGAGATATACCTAACCACGTCATATTATACAGCTTGGAATAACTTCCTTCAAAATATCAAAATTGATGCCGCTGCATTAAGTATTGAACGTCCAAATAATGGTTTCGAAAGGAAATTCAATAGAAAAGTCCTCTATCTTGAATCATTATGCTCTTCAAGACTGGAAGAATTCGATTTTGAAGACATATTAAATAATTTGGAAAGCGTTATCGACGGTCCAACGAATGATCTTACGGTATATGCTTTGTTACAATCGTTGAATTTCCTCAAATGGTATCTTGAAATTGTTGGAAAAGTCCCGGAAAAGGCAAACGCTGTCCACAAAATGATCCTCGAGAGATCAATAAAGTTGGAGAAGATGCTCAACGGGAACCTACAGAATGGATCTCTAAGAAGCTTCAAGGATTATGTAAAGTCGAATATTGACCTCAGTAGTTTGGTTTCGTCATTAAGCGTTATCTTAGAGCTTTCCAGCCCATTTCACAGTAAGTTCGGAACAGAATTAGGCAGGATTGATATATCTGAAATACGTTGCTTCTATAGTGTCGTTGTTGCTGGTTTAACAAGGGCTTTGTTATCTGAAAATGACGCCGAATTTGCTGTTCAAAGTAAGTATATTTCCAACTTGGTCCTAAGAGTGTCAAATCATGAGGAACAGCCTTGTCCTCCTTGTATTCAAAATGGAGATTTTAAACATATCGCTACATGTGCCGCTGAGGTCTTCCATCTACATTCAGGTGGCACCGATGATACAAGAGAGATAATCAAACGTATCAAAAATAGTTATGATGCTTGTTTGCCTGGTCCTCGGGGACTAAATAATTACGAGATGTTCATAAACACCAAATGAGGATATTGGGAGGTTAATGCAAATAAAATTATCTTAATTATACATACTATAAAATTGGCTTTATGCTATACCTAATCGTTCTCCTCATGCCTAATCCTTTTTAGATTTTTTCTTCTTTGGGGATTCTTCATCCTCAGCTTTTCTCTTCTTATCTTTCTTTTCCTTTTTGTCTTTCTTTTCTTTCTTTTCCTTCTTCTCTTTCTTTTCTTTCTTTTCTTTCTTTTCGGATTTTTCAGACTTTTCGGATTTTTCTTCAGAAGATTCTTCAACGGATTTCTTTGGGTATTGAATTTCTGGAGCTTCTAATTTTGAGGCTGGTACTGGAGGAGCTGGTTCTTCATCATGATCTTTGTAATCACTCTTCCAGCTATCAGGTGTTTGTTCGTTGACTCTACCATATTTGTCTAATTTTCCATCAGCTTTCAATTGTTTTTTCTTTTGAGCAATTGGACCTAAACCCCATCTTCTTGGATAAGTATCTCTTTCCATGATACATCTCTTGACTTTGGCAACAACACCATGATCACAAGATTGTAAATCAACAGAGGTCATTTGAGCAATACCAATTGCAATGGCTTCACCTTTAGTGGTCATTAAAACGACTTCATCGTATAATTCAATACCTTCTTCGTATCTCAATAAACCTGGAATCATTAATTTGGCACCGTAACAAACAGCGTTGACGGCTGAGTCTTTGACAACAACTCTTTTGTAACCAACTAATAAAGTTTCTAAAGGTTGAATGACTTTTCTCAAGTAGGTTTCATCTCTGGTATTATCGTAAACGTATTGGGCATCTAAGACATCGTGTAAAGTGACCAAGTTGTCATTTTCACTCATAGCTCCTGATCTGACTCTTCTTAATTCTTGCATGTGACCACCGACTCCTAATAACATACCTAAATGAACACACAAAGTTCTCATATAGGTACCAGCTTCACAGGAAGCCCAGAAAACAGATAATCCTCTTTTGTTGTCGAATTCAATTAATTTGGAATCATAGATAGTTCTGACTCTCAATTGTCTTTTAACAGCTGAAATCAAAGGTGGTCTTTGAAACAAAGCACCAGTCAAGTTTTCTAATGATCTAGCCATGTCCTTTTCATCTTTTAATTCTTCGTGTAATCTGGCAATACAAACATATTCTTTACCGGCACCTTGTTGAGATTTAACTAATCTAGTGGCTCTGTCAACACAAACGATTAAACAACCGGTGACTTTAGGATCTAAAGTACCAGAGTGACCGGTCTTTTCAGCTCTTAAAATTCTTTTAACCCAAGCAACAACTTCGTGAGATGATGGGTTAGATGGTTTATCTAAGTTAATAACCCCTGATGAGATATATGATTTGATGTCTCTTTTCAAAGGAGAACAACCAGATGGGATTGGAGTGTAATGACCGGATCTGACTAATAATTTGTCATAGTTCTTCAATAATAATGGCCATTCAGAAGTATCGTTACTTGGAGTAACATTTTCTGGTTTGATAATATAATCTTCTGACATGGTTGAACAAAAAATTTTTCACTTTTTTTCAGAGATGAGATTTTGAGAAGACTTGAGATATTGGTCACGTGATCCTGTATTTAGAAGTATGTTTTCAATTGAAGTAGGGATCAGCTTGAAATAGACATTTTCTTGGAGATTTCATTTTTGATGAGTTCCAACCAGAACATGTCCCTTCCAATGTTTCTTGCTGCTTTAACACAAACATCGAACCTCTCATCATTTATGAGTTCACTCTTGTCGCTGAAATTTCCACTGATTAGACCAATTAGATCTTTGTTTGCTTTAATTTCACTTGATATGTCGTACAATTGGTTTGTTAATACAGAGTCAGGGATAACCAATTCATCCAAAGAAATTTTACCCTCAGGAAAGTGAATATGATTCTCATCATCATTATTAATTTGCAGCAATGAATACAATTTGGAATTCAACTCGGATACTTTGGTTAGCTGGTCAGTTAAATAGGTGATGTGTGAGTCAATATACTCCTTGTTAGCTATTGCTTGGGAATAATGATGATTCAACTGATTGTATAATCCTTCTACCTTCATTGAATTGGTATTCACCACTTCCAACATATTAAAGTTTTCTGGCAAGTCCGTTAATAGCTCGTTGATTTGTTGGGACAATCTTTCTAGAATAACAGTATTCGATTTGGATTTTTGGGGTCCGTCTTGGTCCATTAGATTATCAATCGACACTTTTGGTAATACAGATTCATATATAGGGGGAGATTGTGAAGTCGGATATGGTGACTGATCAGCCCTACTAATAGATGAAGTATCTTGAGTTGGGCTCTGACTTAAGTTTCCACTGTTACTCAAACGGTATGGAGATAAAGAATTCCTTGAATGAAGGGGAGACTGCAAGGGACTAAATGGTGGGCCTGCCGTCCGATTATATCCCAGTGCCTCATTGTTACTTGGAATGCTTGGTAATGGTAATGGTGACTGGTATCTGGGGTTAGTTGTCACTTGCTTCGTGGATCCCTGAAAAGGTTTCAATGGCAATGGTGGGCCGTTACTAGATCTTGAACCAGTTATATCAGCAGTCAAAACAGATGCAGGGGGTGACCTTTGTCCTACCGATGACCCTGTAAGTTCACTCAGCAATCCTGTTGGATGATTGAGCACTCTGGATGGTTTAGGTGGTTTAGTTGGGCCAGTTGATTTGTATATAGGAAAGTCATTCTGAAATGCATTACTCACAGTATCAATTAAGACCAATAAGTTGAACCGTTTCGTTGAATTCAAATCACCTGCTCTGCAATTCTGATGCCAGTCGGTTATGTACGGATGATAGAATTTCCCTTGACTGTCGACGAAGTTATTGGGCTTTAAAAATAAACCCTGCGTGTTATCCGGCACCACATAAATCATAGGAATACCATCTTCTCCATCAATTTGGCCATTTCCGTTGAAAGGATAATTCAAAGGTAGCCAAATTTCCACAGGTATGTCAGCCACGGGCAATTTTCCGTAGATATTAATTAACAAATTCGAAGATCCTGTCTTACCTGAAGTGTAAACTCGAGTTCTGATCCTAAACCCCTTGCTGAAGTACTTTTGCAAGAATTGCAACACGTGTGTATATACAATTTGTTTGTGGAGATACTGCGGTTGTAAGACATTGTATAGCCAATTGATCAATTGGGTCGGTAATTCCATTTAGATGCCTTCAATAAGAATTCTTGATTCGCAGGAATATTGAGAGTGTCGATTTGTGTCGTATTCATGTCGTCAAGTTGTGTTTGTATTGGAAGAGTGTAAGAGTTCTTAGTAGCATGAAGAGGACACCTCTGCTACATTTCCCAAAGATGTGTAACATCTGTGGGCCTTCAATTGGTTCCATGATACCATCGTTTATTTTTCCGGACTGTTTCAAGCTAGAATACAATTTCCTTCAGCATCATGATACACTGAATGTCATGCTCTTCTAATGATTAACTGTTCCACTTTCGCTTATAATGAAAAACTTTCCAAATTACACCGAAAAGCTTATAGTTCAGTTTTCAAAATGACCTCCTTGTTGTCTTTCTGTAAAACCCATGCTTAAATGTTACGATTGATATTCGCACTTTATCAAATTCTCAACGACAGAACCTCATTTAGAAGTATTCTTCTTGCAGACAAAAAAGATTTTCAGATGAGTGGGTATGTATTCCATTGGTGAATCAATCGACTGTCAATAGATGATATTTACTTTTACCGTGTGATAAATATCTTCTTCGATCGATTCCGACGAAAGTCAAGTTTTAGAACTCAGGGGAAATCCGAATATACTAACTAAGTAGATATACAGTTTTGATTGTGTTCGTGCTTGTTGCTGTTTTGTGTGGTGTTACTTGGGTAGCAGCACCTAAAGAGAACAGAACCGTTTGGAGATCCTCAGTTATTTTAGGGATATCGATGTGCTTTTTAATGTGGGCCATAACATACTTGAGTCAATTGCACCCTTTACAAGCACCAAGGAGAGCTGACTTGAGACCTGAAATGTAATCCACCTCAGCTTTTGGTTTGTTCACCGATCCTATCATGATTTCTTAGAAGCTGAAGAGATTCTCGACTTCATTTCATCCAAAATATCAATGTTACAATATATAAATGTTCAAAATTACTATCATACAATCTTCTCAGATAGTATGCAAAATTTCTGACTGTCCCTTTTGTTACCACCTAACCCTCCAACATAAGCTATTTATCGTAGCGTGATTTTGGGTTGGCGTATATTTTAATCCGGGTAACCCTTCTATATTATTTAAACCTCAGTTCAACTCGGAAAAATTTTTCTCGTTCAGTGCGAGGTCTTCTTGTGGAGGGTTTGAATAGCTTTGACGTAGGATGTTTTCAAATCTGATTCCTTATGTCGAGCTCGCTCTCACATCTCAGGAAAGACTTTATAAAGAGGCACTTTTTTCGGTTCTGGAAAAAGACTTTGAATTGTGATTATCTTGAAAAAACTTTAACATATTTGTAATTCAACTTGTCGGCAAAATCCTTTTGGAATAGCTGGCTGTCCTAATCTTGTTGAATCTCCTGTTTCTGCCTCATATTCTTTTTTCTTCCATAGAATAATGGGTTCTGGTTATGGAGAAGATAAAGCTTTACGAAGGGTTTTTGACGCTTGATACTTGTCATTGACTCGTTGTATTGATCGTGTGGTTAGGCTTTGTATCCTTGTGTGGCATATCGGAAAAGTTTCCGAGTTGTCTGATCGGTCTCCACTACATTTTCTCTGATTGTAAGCTCTCTCCTCCTTGTTAGCTTGAACTTCTGTGAAACAAAAATTTCCTTTTGGTATAACTTTGAGATTTGTGATTTTCGCAAATAGTAAGTGTTTATTAATCTGATATATTCGCTATTCCAATTAAACACCGTTTAGCTAGTCAAACACGCCTCAGAGATAATCACATTGACCCAATCGCTTAACAATAACTTACTACACAATAACTTGATTGTGATACCATCTTCAGACATGTGAAATCCAAAACACTGAAAATTGAAACTGGCATTCTGGGCCAACTTTCTTTCGGGTGATATGTATGTCTCTCGTTACTCTACACACATCATACAGAATATTAATTCTATTCGTCTATCGAGAATAACTCAAAGACAAACGTATTTCGGTTTACACGATGGAATCTAGTCTCAGAACCGAACCTTTGAAATTCTGAAACAAGGATAGCTAAAGAATACAAACCTAAATCCAAATGGGAAATATTCAAATGAATATACACCAAATATACTGAATGAGAATGAGAGAAGCAAAACTCTTCACTCGAAAATTTGAATAGAAGAATGAAAGCCCGAATTTTTCTTAGTAAGGCAGAAATATATGCTGGTTCTGCACCATGAAAATGCATTTCTCAAGACCGCATCATTCACTAAACGCCTTTATTTCTGAATCAACTGTAATATAAAGCAATTCCTCTGTTTTATTAGTGTTTCAAGGAAATTTATGAGAACAGGAAAAACAATAATATTGAACAATGTACTTGTTTCATAAACATAGAGCAAGAAACCTAATTATTCTTTTCTATCGTACGTAAATATACCGGGTTGAAGTATTTGCCAACTATCATTAACAGAATTTTCATCCCACCTATGGAAAGAAATGAAATGCATGTCAATGGAAAGAAAATGATGAAACACTCAGCTGCATTCACACAAAAATTAAATGCTTCATTCATTTTTGCTGAGTTTGAAAAGATACAATAAGGCAGGGATACGAAACAGGACAACTAAACCAAATCCACTTTTATCGGATACATGTATGTCGTCATTATTAGTCCTCCGCTATTTCAGTTTCTCTATCACATCATTATGCTTTGAAATAGGATATTCAGAGATTCATGTACAATAATTCTAAAGAATTTTCGATTTACACGCAACTCAAAGTGTAGGATTACTAGAAGAGGATTATCACTCTGATCGTCTTTTCCTTAAATATCCAATTCTCTGCCCGACTATTTAATTTTTGATCAACCAGTCGGCCTTAGCACATTAGATCTTCTACAGGTAACAAACATAATGACTATACAAAGTAAGAGAGCTACGCATCAAAATATTCATTGCTTGGTAACTAAGATAGAAAAAACTCTAGCCGGTCCATGAAAAGAAGATGTATTCAAGTATTCACATCGTATGACGGACATACTTGAGCTACCGAATATATTGGTAAGTAGTAACGCAGACTTCAAAGATACCTAGGTGTGAATTACTTTGAAAGGTATTTTGAAAGGTATTAGATTAAAAAGCCTAATGAAAAGACACTGTGTGTATTCAAACTTGATTTCATATATTGGTACCACAAGGTTGGGAGTCTTTGTACTTCTAACTGATATGACATAGCTTTAAGCACCTGCCTTGATACATCTTTCTGTACGGACTTTGGTATCACTTTATATTGTGTGAGTAGAAATGTAGATATAAAAAATGTAGATCAAAGTATGATCCCAATTTAGAGATAATTGCCAATGCTAGTCATTTCTTAGAAACTTGTTGGCTTTGGTATATGTTCCTTGGAGCAGAACGCCACAGAAAGTGAGAGTTTCATGCGATGAGCTGTTTAATTCTACGCAAATTCTCCCGACAAGTCAAATTTTATGGTTATGCAGATCTAAGTGGGTGGTAAGATATTGTGAAATATGTGCGCAGATACTTTTTCGATATGACTGATTTGTCCACTCCATGGTGGAAGATTTTACCGCTATTTGTGCTGTACTTCAATTTCTTGTGCTTGTGTATTTAGTGTCAGTACATTATTTGGCTTATAGATATGATTATTGGGATTTAAATCAAAGAAGTTCCTTGCTACTTTTCATTACCAGCATCTCTCTCAATTATAAACCAAAAGAATCCAACTGCCATCCATTTTATATTGGTCTTCAAATAGCTGGACATATAATGATGATTATCGGACTGTCATCTATTCAGCGATACCAGAGATGAATACGTTCCACTAACTCAGCTAATTCCAACAATGGATCTGTTGATCCATTCACAGCTCTGTGTTCCGATTCTGAGAAAATTCCTCTCGTCTTTTTACCTTGATGTTGGCTGAGTCACTACATCAACCTTTCTTAATTGCAAAATTGGTTGACCATATATGTTCTTCCAGATGAATCCTCAATCAATGAAATGAACCTTCTTTGGTGGCGAACTTGACTGTCGATTAGAGTGATTAATGATGTTACGGAGTTACCACGAAGTTCTATCGATTGAAAATTGCGCAAGGTTCTGGAACACAAACATCACAAGATTCATGTAAGAGATTTAAAGCACCTAGAAGCTAGCAAAAATGTCTAGTAAATTATATTTCTGTTTAAATGGTATGTGATTGTGGGAGTTTTTTTTCAAGAATTAAGACGAATGTTCTGTGGGACATGGGATAACGTATTTATTTGCGCAATGTCTTTTGTTGAGTAAATCTCTATGTGAATGGTTAATGTGCACTTTTCGAAAGCATTCAGACTCATAGCTTCTAGTTAACTGATAATCGCGGCCTGTTCTTATGAAGCTTTAGCATAGTTCGTTGTAAAAGGTATGGAATACTCTTCCTGTGGTAAAGCCATGAAATAAAATGTAAGGTTCCATTTATTCAGGAAAACTTTGGATTTGGATGTGATACTCTTGCATCTCATACCTCTCAATATATGGTATTTTATGTGGGGCCTTTGAACTCAAACTTATTTTGTTATTAGAATCAAGAAAGTTTATTCTTGAACATAAGCTTTCTTTGGGTTAGAGTTCCCTTGCATCATGCTTTGTCTCTCGAGTGTTTCATTATGTTGGGCTGCGTAAGAGAGTACTCACTTACCGTTTTCGAGATAAATGTTGAAAATTCTCTTTGTTTCTTGAAATGTGACTACATACATATTATATACTTTAATTATCAGGAGGCACAAAGACTTTTTAATTCCAGACTTACTACCCTCAATTGGAGAAACCAGATCAAATCTACTTGTTCACACGTATTTGCCAAGATTGTTTTTTTTTTTTTTTAAATGATGTAGGTTGAAACATCGTATTTAAATGACTAATGTTAATTTTAATGGTGTTTTTAGAAATTGTGCTGGTTTTTATGTGAGATCGATTAATAAATTAAATGAAACTTCATTCAACGGGTATGTATATTCTTAACGTATTTCTTTTCTTGTATAATAGATCTAAGAGGTCATTGGAATTATCTTTGCCATATTTTTTGTGAATTTTCTAAATTCAAAATTGTCATGGTGCCCATTTACCTAATTGGACCAAACCTGTCCTTATCTAGGTTGTATGAATTGTTCATAATGCCAATATATAACATTCAAAAAAAGCATAAATTGGTCGCTTGGTTTCCATTTTCAATTTTCGGGTTCAGGTTCTGATTCCAGTGCGTTCGACACACCTCCAAGACTTGTAGTATTTGGAATGTTTTAGAGAATTTGTGAAATATGTCTTATCTTCTATCAACTGAATCACGTGATTTTCAACTACATTTTATGCTCCCTCTTCTGGGTTTGAAGTGATGAATGTATATTGGTTCATGTGATGTTACATGGCTATGTGATTAGTCTGATCATTACGAAATTATAATTTGTAAGTCACAGAGTATCACGGCAGTAAAAAATTGTATCGGTTGAAATCAAGTAGCCTTTCACTTTCATTGGGTTGCATTGATTCATGCTCTGAAGTTAAGATAGGAAATCTCTTCGATTATTTATTGATCGAATTGGATAAGGTGGTATTTATGTATGCGCAGAGAATTCGAATGGATCGTACTAAATGTACTTATCAAGAGTTATTCAGTGTCATACAGACATTCTGAAAATATACTTATATATTGTTTTCTGCAAAATTCACAGAAACACTAGTTTGCAGAGATGTATTACATACTTTATTCAGTTTGTTTATAACTGAATAACATTAGGAATTAATCGAATGATATATAAGTAAAACAAATTGAATGGAAAAGAATTATTGTATGAATCAGGAATGCTTCCATAATGGCATCTAGTGGAATTTCTAGCCAAATTGTTTTAGCGCGAGATAGCATTTTGGTTTATGCTGGATGATGCTCCTACACGATGATATATTATTCTACACCTGATTGGATCGGGGTTATGCGAAATGATTTCTGAGTTACAGTAATCTCATGGAATGATTCCATGGCTTCGGAGGTTTTGCGGAATGAAAATAAAGAGAAATAAGTAGAAAATAAACGTCAATGGGAAACATATATTCATCAAGATTAGCAACCACCACCACCACAACCACCACCACCACCACAACCACCTCCACCGCAACCACCTCCACCACTTGCACAACCACCACTCCCAGAACCCCCACAGCTGGAACCACAACCCGACCCACCAGATGTAAAATAAGCACCGCAATATGTAGGGACAGCGACTATACCAGTGGAAGCACAACCACCAGCACCACAACGTCCTTTATTTCCTTTCCTCTGGACATAAGTACCACAACTACCTTTCAAGCCTCCGCAAGCACTAGACTTATCGATAACGGCTCCACAAATTCCATTCTTGTAGAAGTTCGCATGATCTTCGTCGCTTGGATTGAAGTTAATATAAGGATTATTGACGTAATTACCTTGATCTACGAGGGCGTCAGTTTGCCAAGGCAATGATACTTTTTCATAACGTCTTTTTGTAGCAATTTTCTGACCTCTTTCGGTAGGGCTCTCTGTAACATTATGATAACTTATATGGTGGATACTTTCATACCCATTTGATATCAAAGATACTGGGTTGGAAGACTTTGAAGACTTGGAAAAAATTGTTCTCAGACGTGCTCTATGAGCTGAGCAGTATTGGCACATGCAAATCGAATAATCTTCTCTGAATTTTCTCCTGTATAATTTACAAGTTTTCGAAAACGAGTCATCTAATCTACCTTGTTCGATTTTATCATTATGATCAATGAAATTTTCAGCAATATCATAACAGTATGCATAATATGAGCTATAATGCAATTGATGAGTGTGCCAAACCAAATCGATATCCAAAGTGGGAACAATAATATGTGGTGATTTTTTCATCAACTGGAAGAACTTGTGGTACCGATTAGATGCCTCAACTATAGTCAATTCAACGAATTGTGATCTTAACCAATCCAAGTTCATCATTTTGTCAATAAATCTTTCTTGTCTCAAAACACAGGCAACCAAATCTTCATGGACTTGGAAGGTTATTCCATTTTGGGGGATAGTGAATGAAATAGGGTTAAGCTCGATGTAATCTCTCAAAACCATCATATCCAAGTTCGTGATACTCTCAGCCTTGAACTTTTGAATTATGAACTTCTTGAAAGGGTCATGTTGCATGAGATTGTGCTTGAATTCCCTCTTAATTGAAGCGTCAACACTTTGCTGATACATAGTTCTGACATTATTACATTGGTATCCATAAAATTTGATTGTTGAGGGTAAAGACTTTGATTTATTGCAATCAGCAACAAGTTTCCTCTTTCTCAATTCATCCATGGTCAAAGTATCTCCTGTAACACAACCACAAAATTTGAAATCTCTCGTTTGAAAAGCTGTATCAGCAAATCCAAAATTCCCATTACTTATTTTGGCATTGGTCAAAAATTTTCCACAAGGACAGAAGATTGGGAAGTGAATATATTTGAGAACAATCCCATCGTAGCTGTTGCAGTTAAAACTTTCCTCCAATCCCAAAGCTTCCATTCCTTCATTGATCAATTTGACGAAATTATCACTCTTATCAATGGGAGGGATATAATCAAAAGTCATGTTAGATATGGCAGCATTAATCGATTTCAAAGGAAATGGGTAATTCAAGAAATATTCCATCTCATTGTAGAGCATATTGTCAATGAAGCTCTTGGGGTTCAACATGAACGAATGCCAAACAAGGAGTATATCTAAAGGAGGTAATAAGTCATCCATGAATTGGTTGAAAAGCTGTTGTTCTTTTGGAATATAATTCTTCCCAGGGAATTTAAGTTTCAATGAACTAAGGAATATGGCGAATCTTCTAGTAGCCAAAGTGACATAATACTGCCAATGTTTCTCTTCAGCCTTTTCACTTTTTAAGTTGGCTTCGTTCATAATTATCTCCTTCAATTTCCTAAAGGTATAAAGTAATTTCAAATGAGCAGTGACATGGAACTTGTTAGGATAGCCAGGTTGACCTGCTACGGACGGAGCCAATAACTTGATAAATTGATTTGATGGAGGGGACTTCTCATCAATGGAGGATTCTTTCGATTTTTCAGTCGTTTCTGCATACTCTTGTTTCTCTTTCATGTTTGATTAATGTGATTTCAATGAATAAACGCTGAGTATTTATATATGGAATAAATTAAGTGTCATTGGAATCGATATCAGGTGGTAATGGTCATTCGAAATTTGACCTCCAATAACCGCATCAACATGTCGGAATCCTTATCAACGTGGAATCTTTTATCTCAATGCGGTCATTTGTCAATAGATAAGGGGTTAAGGGGAACCCCGTGACTTTAACCGGTAGATTTACGATAAAATGTGACTCTTTTACTGGCATGTGCCTGATGACGTCGTTGCTAGATCAAAGAAGGCTGATATTGATCACTTCAATTTTATGCCCGATCGGTTTTAAAAGATTAATTTTTCGTAAACGTCGTACACGTGATACGAACTGTATTTGTTTTCTCAGTTACGAATTTATCTCAGGTTCGTATAGTCATGTGCATCAAATGGATGATAGGATGACGTGAATTCATCATTTCAATTAGGTTATCTGCGGCACAAAGGATGAAGTACTTGAGAGAGTGATTGCAGATCTTATCATCCTCTTGGTAAAAGAAGTTAAGTACGGTTCTTTATATTCACATGTCAACTAATGCTGTATTTACTGAGAAACCAGGAAGGTTTTGATTCTCCTATTATCAAAACCAAGAGAACTGGTCAGCTTGTTTCATCTGAGCAAATCATATCTAAAGCACCTTTGTATTAATTTTGCGAGGGTGGGCAATTATTCAACTCCTCAAATAAAATCTATTCATGTCCTTTGACTTTTGAGTGACCAGATCACAATCATCCTATACTGTGGGTATCAGTAAAGACTCTATTCCTCTCTTAATTATGGAGCTATCGTATCCTGAATAAATGGAACTTATGTTTTCCAGGTTCTCTGCAAACTTTGCAATCTGGGAATTCGTACATTTTAGCGCCCTTGTAATGTACGATGTTTTCTTCGTAGATTGTACTCTCCTCATCATGGAAAGCCGTAATATTAACGAAAGGAAGTTTCCTATGTAAATATATATGCAAGTGAAACATTTTCCAATTTATTCAAGGCAAGTGCAGTTCGTTCAACTAGAAGTGAACCAAAGTATTTTCCTCAAAATATGTTGCAGTATTTTCCTCAAAATATGTTGCAAAGTGACAGGCAATGTGCGGCTCCATGGATGTTAAACTTTTTCTTAAGCTAATGCGTTCCACCAATACCTGGAAGGGTAGTCCGAACAATGAAGTGCTGAACAGGATGATTCGGCGTAGATCAAAAGAGGGCCGTGGGATATATATGGCACAGGTATCGAAGAAAGAATTATTACCTCTATTGTTTTATTTGGAGTTGAAAGTGATTGATATGCCCTTCAGAGATTGGGTGGGACTATTCCCCCATTAAAAGTGTGGATTCAGAATTGGCTTCTGGATCTCGATATTTACCTAACTACTTCCACAACCACCACCCCCACCACCTCCACAAGATGAACCACACGACGAACCACAGGATGAACCACCACCTCCACAAGAGGAACCACCTCCACAACTGCTATGCCCCCCACTACTGCAACTTGATCCACATCGGGAATTGGTAGTACAATTAGAACCTATGTCAGACATAGCTAACCCGGTGGTGAATGCTCCACAACCCAACGGTCTGGCTTGGATACCCGAACCAACACAAGCCCCTGCACCACAGGAAGAAAGTCCACGTAAGGCACTCTTAGTTTTAATTCCACCACATGCACTAGCTTTATCTATCACTGATCCACACATCCCGTTTTTATAGAAAAGTGCGTGTTCTTTATCATTCGGTTCAAAAGCTTCGAACGGATCATTAACAAAGTTGTCAGAAAATGATTCGAAGGGTGCTTCCCAAGGTGAAAGGGTCTTACTGTACTTTTCGTAAACCTTATTCATATTTTTCGTAGCACGTTCAGTTGGCACCTTCAAGGCATTATGTGAACTCACATGGTAAATGCTTAGGGATTTATGTTTTACCAAAGGTGTCTTGGGCTTCCTGGTAAACATGCTCTTGAAAGTCCCTCTTTTCAGAACACAGTAAACACATAGACAGATTGAGTACAATTCTTTGAATTGGTTTCGATAAAGTTTACATGTCTTTTCAAATGCATCATCCAACCTTCCTTGTTCTATTTTATCGTTATGATCTATGACTTCCCCAGCTACGTTCCTACAGAAAGCAAAGTACTCAGATTGAAATAATTGATGGGTATGCCAGACCAAATCAATATCCAAGGTAGGAACGATGGAGTGTCTAGCTCCTCTCATTAACACAAAAAATTTTTGGTACCTCTCCAAAGATTCAACAATCGTCATTTCAACGAAAGGTGAGTGAATCCAATCAAAATCTATCATTTTATCAATAAATTTCTCCTGTCTGAATATACAGGCCACTAAGTCTTCATGAACTTTGAAAGCTGACTCATCGGGTGGAATAGTAAGCGATATTGGGTTCAAATCCAAATAATCCCTCAAGATCAAAATATCATTTTTGGAAAAATCTTCTGATTTCAAACCACTAGTAATAAATCCTTTCAATGGTTCCATTTTGAATTCTTTCTCATCTATGAGTATCTTGCTTTTAATAGAATCATCAATCGCTTGCACGGAGATTTCCAGATTTTTGGGAAGTTTGGAATAATACTTTCTGAGCGAAGGTAAAGGTTTGTCATCCACACAATCAAAGTACAATGTTCGCTTTCTTAATTCTGAGTAATCTATAAAATCATGAAATCCACATTTACAATTATCAATGGTTTTTTTCCCAAAAGAATGGTCACCAAAACCATATTGTAAGGCTACCGAAAGGAATGGAACAGCTAACCTTTTTCCACAGGGACAGTACACTGGTATACTCGTGGTATTTGGGTATATTTGCTTGTAAGCGGTGAACTCAAATTTTTCATCCAACTGTAACTTGTCTAAAGCAAATGTCATCAAATCGCTAAAATTATCACTCAAATCAATTGATGGGATATATATAAACTTATCATTGGAAGTTGATTCATCTATCCTACCGAGAGGGAATGGATAGCTGAGGAATTCCTTGAAATCATTGTAAATGAAATTATCCTCCATGGATTTGGGATTTAACAAAAATGAGTGCCATACCAAAAGAACATCTAGTGGTGGTAACATACTGTTCATGAAAACATTGAGATTGAATTTTTCCTTATCAGACTCCCTGACCTTGATCTTCAATGCTGTGATGAATAACACAAATCTTCTAGTGGCTATAGTAATGTAACATTGCCATAATTTTTCTTTATCTTTAGGCTTATCAGCATACTCAGTTATAATATTTTTGAGATTTCTGAATGTATTTAAAAGTTTCAAATGACATGTCACATGGTATTTGTTAGGATAACCAGGCTCATTAGCCACACTTGGTGCAAGTAGCCTGGTGAATAGACCAGTTTTTCCTGCGTAGTTTATTTCTTGGTAAGTTAATTTCTCCATACCTTTCCTGGCATTCTCACTTTGATTTATATTCGATTTACGAACTTTCTTACGTAAGCAGGTAAAATCCATTACATCAGCATAATAGAACTCCTTATGCGGTGGTGAAAAATCGGCGATAAAATATGGTCATTGGCAAATAAATTTTACGAACGGACTCGGGACCAGCTTCCGCCGATAGCTGTCGAATAAAAGGAACCAGGGCTTAGAGATCTTTCGCAGTGTTACAATACCAATCAAGTCTCTAGAAATCTCACTGGAAGATGTCAAAAACTGCTTGAAATTTAAATATTTCTCCCCTTAGTGATGCTATTGTTACATCGAAGTAAAAGTGGCCCATTCACGAAAACCTTTAGCTTCTGAATTCTAAGTCATTTGAACCACATGGTAAATGATCATTCATCTCGGTTACAGTTGTCCACATGTCGAAAAAAGAGAATCTCAATTTACGAGAAAATATATATTCCCCTGAAAATCTCCATGTTTTTCATCAATGGTTGTTGTTATCGATGGTATGGTCATGGGGAATTCCCCCGAAGGTGAGATTCTTAACGCAGCAATGAACTATAATAAGTTAATTAATGTGTATCAAAACTTGAGGTTGGATCACCTTGCTAAAGGAGATGTCTATGAAAGTGATGATAATGTTAGGAATTTTATATCATTTGGGATCAGAAGGTTCATGTACTTCATTGATGCCTTGATGAACGATGAAAGCGCCAATCCAAATTCTATGACCTTTCCAATTGATATATTATTTGCTTGGAATGTGTTCTTATTAAACCCAAAGGCTTACAACACATTCTTGAAATCTCATGGTTTCGAAAAGTTTTTGATGGTTCCATTCCCATTGAATAACTTGGCAAGATTTATGACCCAAGATTTAAACTATTATCCAAGTCAAGGAGTTTATGAGTTCGAAGGATTCATGAATAAGTATTACACTGAAAAAAAGTTAGGCAGATTTGCTTTCACTGAGACTGAATTCGATCAAACTATAGTCTTTTGTCCTTCATGTTCGGAATTTTTCTATACCCAATTCAACGATGTTTGTATTCCCAAATTTAGTGTAAGCGAAAAATGTGGATGTGGGTACGAAGTTAATCATGCAAATTTAAGGTGGGTGAAATTGAAGTCTGATTGTGAGAGTGGGTTCTTAAGTTCTAACAATTTTTCCGATGTTAATGCAACTAATATAGCAAACATCAAAAAGTTGGTATTGGACAGCCCAATCCAAGATATAAATACTTTTATCAGTAGCAATAAGTCAATGTTGAGCACATCAGAAATCAGTATACTTGTGGCTTACCTGAAGTTTAATCCTCACCAATTAATCCCAGGGTTCGCCATAATGGAAGACTTGATTCCTTCCGCCTTTAGATACACTAGATTTTGTGATAAATTCTTCGAATTGGAATTAATCGCCAATCCTTTTGCTACTATGACATACATGAAAGCTCAACAGAAATATTTCAAATTCACTCAATTGTTTGGTAGAGATGTTGTTCCTACTTTAGAGGTGGAATTCATTTGGCAAGTTTACAAACTCAACCATTATCAATATATTCGTAATGGTATTTATGATTATGATGTCATGGATGGTAACAAGTTAATCGATTGTTTTAAAAACACTTGCAGTTTGTATAAAGCCAGATTTTCAGAAGATTTCAGCGAATGTCCTTGTAAAATATGTTCCACCACAAGAACTAAGTCTTCCAGTTTGAAGAGCAAATTCAAGATGACCAAACTTTTGAAAATCCCTGGAACTCAAGAAATCATTGCCACCCCCCGAGATGCCGAGAGGTACTCCAATTCTCACATAGATTTCCAGAAAAGTGTCAAATACAACACAACCCAATTATTAGGTTATGAATGGGAAGGAGACCTTAACCAATTTCCTCCAACCTTAAATCCAGTTATCAAGATGGGCTAGATCACGTGAGAATAGTATATATATGATTAAAAAAATATACAAATAAACAAAGTTGCACAACTTCGAATTTCTATTTACGAAAATCTCTTTCTTGGCCAATATACATAATTTGTGGTTTTTGCTAATTTACGAATTTCTGTGCGAAATGATTGATTTGGAGGATTTGGTCTATGGAGAGACTCATGATTGTCAATTGTTCAACGATGCCATAGCATATCTTCGACTTTTAACGGCTTATAAGTGTTACGAAGTAGTTGACTTAGATAGTGATGTCGGAAAGTTTCGTAAATATGTCAAACATGGGACCAGAAGATTTGTAACTTTTGTTGAAACAATGAAGGAACATAATATTGAGACAATTGATTTCGATGTTCCTTTAGACATTTTATTGGTATGGAATGTTGTACTTTTATATCCGAGTATTTCTGATGAGATATTCTCTTCAATTGGGTACAAATTGCCTCCCTTCCCACTTAGCGAGATCTCCACGAGAGGAGATTTTGAACTCGATTACGATCCTGCAGGATTCGAAGAGTATATGGAACCTTTTGAATGCCAAGAAGACAATAAGGTACCCATATACTGTCCTGTGTGTAAAGAATTGATTGATGAGGTAGATGTCGAAGACCAAATCACTCTGGATCGGTGTAGCTGTGATTATCCGGTGAGCGAAACTAGTCTTAAATGGATGTTCTTGAAGAGTCAATGTGAAGATTTGGAAGATGGTATATGTGAATTGGTTAAACATAGTGAAATACAAGATGTTTCCGAATTCATGGAGTTCAATTCTTTGCAAAATGATCCGATAGTTATCAGGGCCAGTCGATTCCGAATATTGCAATTCACTCCTTTGTTATATTTCCCCATGGACTTACCACTGCTTGTACACGACTTTTCAAGATTCTACACTTACTATTTTGATTTGGATTTGGCCTCGGACTTATCCCAATCGGTTGCTCTTTATAATGGCCTCCAGTATTGGTTGAACTTCAAACAATTGAATTTTAAGAAAACCCCAACCTTGGAACTAGAATTTTTTTGGCAAGTAGAACTTTTATGTCATGAGTACAAAAGAGAAGTAGAAGAAGGTGATTACCTCGAAACAGCTAAAAGTTACCGTGAAAAATTCGACCATGATTTGAGTTTGTGTCCATGTATCACCTGTTCCAAAACCAGGGGTCCCTATAACAAGATTCCCGGACTTTACCAGTCTCTTGAAAAAGGTTTTACCAACTCTCATTTTTACCGGACTATAGAAAATTGATACAGATAGAACTTATATTCATAACTCATTATAAATGTTTAATACAAAAATCTAAAATCTTCCGAGATCTTAGATGAATCAAACCCTTTTCCAAATTCTTTTTCCCAATTCATTGTACCGGATGCTATTCTCTTATTTAATTGCATTAATCTAAATCTGGTAAACACAGCAGCACAGACTGCTAATCCAATGAACACACAATTGCATACGAATGCAGTGAGATATCTTGGAGCATTAGTTTCGGGGTAAAGATAACTATTCCAAATACTGGTGGAATTAGAAAGACAATTCATGATAGCGATAGCACAAGCTCTTCTCAAAGGAGGTCTTGGAATGGAATTACTCATGTGAGTTAAAATGATTGTGAACGAACAATACAAAGAAGGAATCATAATACACATAGCAAAATACCTAGCCCCAGTATTTAAAGTAGCAGCCGAAATAATGAATGAAATCAATGAAATTACTAATGGTAAAGTAGTATGATAGAATCTTTCACCGGTTTTATCAGCATGTCTTGCCCACAAGAAAGTGGATACCACGGCAAGTAAATATGGAGGAGCAGTTAAAACTAAAGTGATGACAGATGAGAACCCTAAAGTTTTGACCACCGAGGGGAAAAAGTTAGTGACCCCACAAGCAGCAACTAAGAATGATAAGGTACCAGTGATAGACCACATTTTGGGATCCTTACAGGTTGACCAAAGAATTTGTCTGTAGTTCAATTCAGTGGTGGCTTGATCCAAATCATCTTGACCAACACCTCTTTTCATTTTCAACATGATAACATCTCTTTCTTCTTGAGTTAACCATTTGGTATTATGAGGCATATCAGGTAAAATAAAATAAGCCATTGGAACAACAGCGACAGTGATAGCACCTTCAATGATGAATAAATATCTCCAACCACTCAAACCACCTTTACCGTCCATGTTATTCAAAATACCAGCGGCAATTAAACCCGAAAAAGCTCCTGATAATAAAGAACCAGAGTATAGAATGGTGGTTCTCAAGGCTAATTCTTTTTTGTCATACCATTTGGACAAGAAGAATAAAGCACAAGGAAAGAAAGCAGATTCCACAGCACCAATAATCAATCTGATAACTAATAATCCCACAAATCCATGTTCTTTACGAATAGCACCCGTACAAGCAGAAATGGCACCCCAAACAGTCATCAAAATGGACATGAAAATTGAAGGTCTAGCAACTTTGTTGAAGATCATGTTGGCAGGGATTTGGAATGTGATATAAGTAACGAAAAGAATGGAAACACAAGTTTGGTATTGAGTACCAACTAAACCCAAATCTTCTTCCAAAGTATTTAATCTTGCACTGGCAATGTTATTACGATCCAAATAGTTCAAGATGTAAATCAACACCAACATTGGTAAAATTCTGAGATCCATTCTTCTTGTAGTTTTCTTCATCAAGGCATCGATCTCTTCGCTGGACATATGTTTCAATGAATCAGGAATGATTTCAGATTCTGTTTGGTTTTTGAAAGAACCAACATCATTTTCTTCTTCCATATGAATGGTTTCGGCTTTAAAGTCAGTCATGATAATAAATAAATGAAGGAATTTCAGGTATTTATAAGACGTACCCCAGGATTGTCAAGGTGGAAAAATATGGGGTTAGTTACCAATGAAATCGAAGAGCAAATTCGTGTATGGGGAAAAAGATGGAGGATGCGATTGAACCATGGAGGCAAAAGTTGGGGGATTTTAAATTTTCCAGTGCGTAAGTGACAATTTTTTTTCCAAAATGAGGGGCGAAAAGTGGAGGACAAAAGTAGGGTATTTAACTTTTTATGTTACATTCAATCTTATTGTTCCCAGATAATCCAAATTGTTAATCAATACCTTCCCAAAACCTTATCACTTCTCGAGAAACGACTCAATTATTGCCAGTTTCATGAAAAGAGAATAGAGTCTCGCCAATATATTGTTCCGTGCTAAGAGGTTCTTCCTGATTAGCGATGAGAGTTTATGTCACGCGGCTTAAATTTGTTCCGATTTTCTTGTAGCCCCACTGTATCCCCCAATTTGAGTGGAGGATATTTACAACATTTACACTGGTAATGTGTTAAACTGTGAAGAGTCAATTTGGGGGACGAGGGTTCGACGAAGAACAGATGATAAACGTTTCTTTCCGGAAATCATTAGTGGTTATGATTTAGGCAAGGATTTTTGTGGCAATAAGGCATCATGTTTGAAGAAATATGTTGCATATTTTTCTAAGAAGGTACAAGTCCCATTTTGAGCAGAATCAGGAAGAAAATGTTTATTTAGGTCTAAGTCCAACCCCTCCCAAGCTTATACCTTCTAATGCTGATGATAGGGAAGATTTAATATAAGAAATAATGCACTAGATTCGTCCCCCACGCCATGAAAATAGAGGTTACAAATAATCCGGTTGAAAGGAGCTGTAATCCCATGGAGATTTCAGTATATTTTGGTATGAAAATCCTAGAGAAGTGCAAGAAGAATAAGCAAGATATCTATGGACAACAGTAGCCTCCATCAATTATCAAATCAGCACCAGTTGTAAAGGTCGAAGCATCAGAAGCAAAGTACAAATATGCCCCAACTAATTCCTTGGGCAATCCTTCCCTTCCCATGGGAATCAATGGCCACCACTTGGACTTAACTTCATAAGGCAAATGACTCGAGATCTCTGTTTTGATATAACCTGGAGAAATAGAATTCACACGAGCAAAACCTACCCACTCCATAGCCAAAGACTTTGCCATCTGAATCAAGGCTGCTTTTGTGGAATTGTAAGCTGTCTGGTCAATGGAAACAGTTACAATATGTCCTGCTTGGGAAGCAGTGATAATAAAAGAGCCTTTACCGTTCTTTTTGAAGATCTTCCCCACACATTTAGCAGCAAAGTAAACCCCATCAACGTTGACTCTCATTAGTTTATGATAATCATCCAAGCTTGCATCTACAACGGGAATACTGTGCGATCCCACACCAGCATTTGCAACGAATATATCTATAGTACCAAAATCCTGCTCGATCGCGTTAATCGTAGCTTCGACTTCTTCATAGTCACTAACTTGTGCCTTATAACCCTTGACTTTGACCCCATATTTCAGCGTCAATTCAGCTACAATGCTATCCACAGGTGTAGAATTATACCATAAAGCAATATCTGCTCCAGCTTGAGCATAGGCTTCAGCTACAGCCAATCCAATCCCTTGCGATGATCCCGTGATAGAAGCAACTTTACCTTTCAACGAGAAGAGGTCCAATGCATTGGATGCCAAATTGGGTGGATTGAGAGGTAAATTATCAATATCTGGTCTAATAATACTCTTGATCGACATTTCTGAATGTTAAAGGGGGTTAAGAGAGATATTTATAGGAGAGAAACCGGGGTGCGGAGATGGTGGAGTACGATCAAGTTAAAAGCAACTAACATTCAATTTGGAGAGCACAGTGTTTCAACCACAAAGAAAGAATTTAAGGGGGGTTTAGGGGCTCATCAACAAAACGGACTTATGTTGGAAGATCACTTGAGTGGCCCTACCAGAAGAATTCTCGTATTATCATTTTCGCCCTTCAAACAGTAGTTTTCAGATTGAACTCGTAAATGTCGAGAATTCTATGACTCAGTAGATAGATACAAGCCTTCTTTTGTTTTTAAACGTTACTCTCAACCTATCGAACAATGTCACTGCATCAGGGAAAAGTTCGTAAATTGGAATGAGTAATAGCCACTCATCTGTCTCTACCATATCTTTTTATTCAATTGCAAATAAATAGTTTACAGTTTGCCATCATAAATTATAGTACATTCAGTACACTTTAGATTTTCGACACTCCAATACTCAATATAAATTGAAGAATTATATAACATTAAATGTTTGCATGGAACGAATTTAGTCGCATCTTGAAAAACTCAGAGATGATCAGACGAAACTCCACCAAAGACTCTGATCAGAATAAGAGGGCCCACATTGAGGATGGATATACTTCAGATAGTTCTGAAATCTTTGAAACAATCGATAGGTCCGACAAGTGGCAGAAAACTATAACCAAAGTTGTGAAAGCAGTGGTTTCTATTCAGTTCAGCCAAATTTCCAACTTTGATACGGAAACTTCCCTTGTAAGTGAAGCCACTGGGTTTGTGGTGGATCGTGATAGAGGGATAATATTGACCAACAGACATGTTGTTGGACCAGGACCTTTCTGTGGATATGCCGTTTTTGACAATCATGAAGAGGCAGTAGTTAAACCAGTATACCGAGATCCAATCCATGATTTCGGATTCTTACAGTTCAATCCAAGAGATATCAAACATATGGAATTATCCCAATTAGAATTGTATCCAGATTTAGCTCAAGTTGGTACAGAGATCAGAGTTGTAGGTAATGATGCTGGAGAGAAATTATCGATCTTGGCAGGGTTTATCTCTAGATTGGATAGAAATGCTCCTGACTATGGTAGTATGAATTATAATGATTTCAATACCGAATACATTCAAGCTGCTGCTAGTGCTAGTGGTGGATCTTCAGGTTCTCCTGTAATTAATGAAGATGGTTACGCTATAGCTTTACAAGCTGGTGGATCTCTGGAAGCTTCAACAGATTTCTTTTTACCAGTGTTTAGACCTTTGAGAGCATTAGAATGTATCAGAAAAAGTCTTCCAATCACCAGAGGTGACATTCAAGTTGAATGGAAATTAAGACCTTTCGATGAGTGTCGTAGATTAGGATTATCAGAAGCAGCCGAAGCCGAAGCAAGAAAACATTTTCCTTCGAAGATAGGTTTATTGGTGGTGGAATTGGTGTTACCTGAAGGTCCTTCTGATGGGTTACTTCAAGAAGGTGATACATTAATTTCCATCGAAGATGAACCTGTCAGCACATTCGTAAGGATGGATGAGATTTTAGATGAAAGAGTAGGGCAAACCTTGAAGTTTGTCATACAAAGAGGTGGAGAATACTTGACACAGCAAATTGATATTGAAGATATTCACGCTATAACACCCAATCAATATGTTGAATTAGCTGGGGCTACATTTAATGATCTCTCTTATCAATTGGCAAGAACTTTCTGTGTACCGGTGGGAGGTGTTTATATCAACGATGCTAGTGGATCTTTTAGAGTCTCTGCATATGAAGACAGTGGGTGGCTTCTCGAGTCAGTTCAAAATCAACTCGTAGAGAACCTCGAGGAGTTCGTTGAGGTAATGAAGACAATTCCTGATATGACTAGGGTCAACATAACTTACAGACATATCAGTGATTTACATATTGAACACTACCATAGTTTTTATCTCGACAGACATTGGTGTTCTAGTTTCAGGATAGCCACCAGGAACGATGATACTGGATTATGGGATTTCAAAACGCTTCAAGACAAACCTTTACCAGCCGTGGAGATAAAAGAACCAAAATTTGCCAAGTTTTTTGATATTCCTATCGAGGATCCAACCAGACAAGCTTGTAGGGCTTTATCGAATTCATTTGTTCTTGTTAGATGCATTACTCCAATCATCTTGGATTCATATCCCTTTAGAAACCAGATATGCCATGGTGTGGTGGTAGATGCCGTCAATGGATACATCTTGATTTCTCGTAAGACTGTTGCCCATGATTTATGTGATATCATTGTCATTATTGCCGATAGTATTGATGTTCCAGGGAAGGTTGTATTTTTACATCCTCATTTGAACTACGCTATTGTGAAATATGATCCATCCAAAGTGACTGCTGATGTTAAAGCCCCCAAATTCAGTGACAAACCTTTGAAAAGAGGAGAAACTACCCTTTTTATTGGTAGTAATTCTAGTTACAGATTGGTTACGGAAGAAGTTCAAGTTAGCGCAGTTGAAACTGCGGTAGTACCTCCAACATATTTAGCTCCCCGTTATAGAGGATGTAATCTTCAATGTGTCATGTTAGATAGTCAACTTCCTCAAGAATGTAGTTCGGGAATGTTAGTCGATGACGATGGAACTTTAAGAGCATTCTGGTTGTCATACCTAGGTGACGATCCTAAGCACGGTGGTCTTAGAATGGGCCTTGATGTCACAGATGTAAAGGATGTCATAGAATCTTTGAAAATTAACCAAGTCCCTGAAGATTTGAAAGTACTTGACGCCACTTTCTATACCCTCCCGGTATTACAAGCAAGATACAGAGGTGTTAATCAAGATTGGATTACCAGATACGAAACTGAAAGCGAAGATCAAGTGTCTTTCATTGCTGTAGAAAAAGTATCAGCTCCCTTATTGAACCTGACCCACACTCCTTTGAAAACTGGTGATATAATCTTATCATTGAACAATAAGCTTGTTCATAGTATGAGGGATTTGGGTATTATGTATAAATCCGATAGATTAAACTTCAAAGTTGTCAGACAAATGAAGGAGATGGACATTGAGGTATCAACCTTGAGTACTCAATCTTTGAACACCTCTCATGTGGTCATATGGTGTGGAGCTATCATCCAAAGACCTCACCTTGGGGTGCTTCAACAAATGGAAAAGATCCCTAGCGAAGTTTACGTCACTCACAGAAGTAGTGGGGGGCCAGCACTTCAATATGGATTAGCATCGGTCAGTTTCATCACTCATATTAATGATATTGAAACCCCTGACTTAGAAACCTTCATAAATGTAGTTAAAGACATTCCAGATAATACTTACACTAAGATTAGAGTGGTTTCTTTTGATATGGTACCTGTAGCTATATCGATCAAGACAAATTACCATTATTTCCCCACATCGGAATTCAAGAAAGAAGAAGGTGTATGGAAGCTGATAGATCATGGAAAAGAAAATTAGACGTAGTTGAATATTTGCATACATTATAATACACAAATTTGTAATCTCTGGGAGGTTTGCCTATGTATTGGATTTTGTCTCATCAAGAGCCTCTCCTACATTATCATCAAGATCAGGACGTTTACCGGTTTCGAAGTCCATTTGTTCATATTTAATGAAACCTGACTTGAAGAAGAAGTAATCATAACAGAACCAAATTATTGGGAACAATGGTAGTAAAATATATCCGTCCACAAACGATTTATAATCGAATGGTTTGAAACTAGACCATCCTTGAACTAAAGTGAGAAGAATTCCCAACGCTATACAAATGTAATCGAGGTATGGGAAGAAAGGAGCTTTGAAAGGTAAGATTTTTAAGTCATAACCTTGAGCTACCAATCCTTTTCTAAATCTTATATGCGTGACACAAATACATGTCCAAACAATGAAACTAGCCACACCAGCAACATTGACAATGTAACCATAGGCAAGAGAACCTGTGGTGGAATATGATAAGATTGATAAGAAACCTAACAAATGGACACTGTGAATAGCCACAAATGGTACACCTCTTTTATCAGTCTTGGCAAAGATTTTAGGTCCGTAACCTTGTTTGGACCACACAAATAATGATCTAGAAGCAAAATAAATGGCTGAATTGATAGAAGAAAAACAAGTAATCATCACCATGGTAGTAACATAATATTTAGCATTAGCCCAACCAGCATTAGTTAAGGCAATAGTCATAGGGGATTTCATAACTTTGTTACTGGAAGCTAATAATGGATCGTTGTAAGGAACTGAGATCCCATAAGCAACACTCAAACCATAATAAACGAAGAAGATTCTATAAATGGTGTTGGTAACAGCAGTAGGAATGGCTTTACGAGGGTTTCTCGATTCAGCTGCGATGATACTAATCCCTTCAACACCAGAGTAGAATACTCCAGCATACACAAATGAATTAGCAATACCTTTAAACCCTGAGTTAAGAGGGAAGTTACCAAATGGGTCATCAGGTTTGTGGCCAGGAATACCCCCAGCAGCATAAATAATAGAAAAAAGGTAAAACCCACACAAGAAACCAATCTTAACAAAACCTAAGATATACTCAGCTTCTCCCCACCATGAAACATTAAGACATTGGAACAATGTGAAGATAAACCAAAAAATCAAATACCATCCGTAAGTAGGGACTTTGTCAGAATAAGATTCCAAAGATGAAGTCAAAGAAACATACTCTGAAATGATATTCATCACCCAAATGATCACATAATATACTGACAAGGTAGCTCCAAAACCTTTGGAGATATAACGAGAACCATGAACAGCGAAATTGAAATCAAAGGCTGAATTTAATTCTCCGATAGCGGCCATCATTCCCAACACCAAGATTCCCACTACAGTGAAACCAACAATCAAACCAGCAGGACCTCCAGCAGCTAAAGCAGCTCCCATACCAATCATCGTGCCTGGACCAATAATACCACAAAGGGCGATAAGGTTAATCATTCTATTTTTAATACCAGCTTTTAACCCTGTATCTAACAAAGTATCACCTTTTTCATTTTCATGATAGGCCGAAACCACTGACACTTCTGCCACTAAATTATCAGATTTCTCCATGTTGACCAAGTGGAAGGTGTTGGGAATTTATGTGATTTTGTTATGCGCAAGTTGGAACTGTGGGATCGGGTAGCAGATAAGGCATTGATAAGATGTCGTACCCATGAAACCAACAAATGAGGAAAAGGTTCACCATTCGTAAGTGTGTTTCAAGAGATGACACCCCATGTACGGTGTTTTTCAATATCCTTGGGATCAGGTATCTTTGTGTAGATAGCTCAAATCGTTATCTCCTACTAAATCCATTATCTTGCAGGAGCTTCAGTGACAGAATTCGCAAAAAATTGATAGGTACGGCACGGAAAAATGTCGCCTCATCTTCCCAATGACAAACCCTAATATAATACAAAAAATCCGATAATCGCCCATATTACTTATCATGCCTACTGAGTTCACAATTGATCAACGTTTCGATCAATTGGTCAAGAAAGTTCCTGTGGTGGACACCCATAACGATTTCCCTTACTCATTGAGAGTACAATTACATAACGAATTACGTTGTGACGATAGATTCAAATTCGATTCACTTCTTACTTCCCACACTGATTTGGTTCGTATGAAAGAAGGTGGGATTGGTGTACAATTTTTCAGTGTCTATATCGAGTGTAAGGATCCTGATTACTTATACGAAGATTTCAATAAAGCCAATAGTGCTGTGAGAGATACTTTAGAACAAATAGATGTTACTAAAAGATTAGTGGATGAATATTCCAAAGAGCTTAAGTTTGTTCGTACTGCTGATGAAGCATTGAATAACTTCCTAACCACTGGAGGTAAGCAAATATCCATTACTTTGGGAGTGGAAGGGTTACATCAATGCGACCTCTCGTTGGCTGTAGTTAGACAATACTACGATTTAGGGGTCAGATATATCACTTTAACTCATAATTGTGATAATCCTTTTGCAACAGCTGCTTCCTCAATCAGTGCTGGTAAACCAGATCATGGTTTGACGGAATATGGTGTAGATTGTATCGAAGAGATGAATCGTATTGGGATGATTGTGGATTTGAGTCATGTGTCCTATAAAACCATGGTCGATACTCTTGAACATACTAAAGCTCCGGTCATCTTCAGTCATAGTTCAGTGTATAATTTGACTAATCATGAAAGAAATGTCAGAGATGATGTTTTCTTGAAGTTGAAGGAAAATGGTGGGGTTTGTTGCATCAATTTCTTCCCATCATTCATTAAATCCGGTGCAAGTGATGGTTTTGTTGGTTCTGATAACCCAGATGTTCCAGAAGCTACTATTGATGATGCTGTCAACCATATCAAATACATCATCGACCTTATTGGTTGGGATCATGTTGGTCTTGGTTCTGACTTTGATGGAATTCCTTGTGGACCAAAAGGTTTGGAAGATGTTTCAAAATACCCCGATTTAGTCAAGAAGGTTTGGGAAGTTACTGATGCTAATGAAGAACAAATCTCCAAGTTAATGGGATTGAATGTCTTAAGAGTTTGGAAGGAATGTGAAAGAGTCCTGGAATCTATGAAGAACAAATTACCTATCGAAACCAATTGGAAGGATAGGATTTGGGAATTCCACGAATATTGTAAATTGTTCCCTGAACTTTACCCTGGTGCTTTTGATGTTAAGAAGAACGTTTATAATAGTAACCAATTATTAGATAATAATAAAAAATGATTATGCCTTTCTTAACTAACAAAGTCTCACTGAATAATCTCTCCGCATTACTCTCAGAATTACACCGATGTCGTGCCGCCAATTGAATCATTGACTGTCGCATCAAGATCTTATCATTCGCACTAGTTCGGCACAAAATTGTCGCACTAGTTCAGTATCCGACAAGGGATTATTTTCTTGCGGTTAGTGTCTGCTTAAAACAGCCGATCCTACTCCCCCAAAATTTCTATGACTATCACTATTATTGGTTCAGGGATTAGTGGATTATACACTGCCTACAGTCTTGTGGAAAACAATGTTGATGCTAAATCCATAACTATAATTGGTGAATATTTACCTGGAGATCAATCAACCTTTTATACTTCTCCATGGGCTGGTGGTAACTTCTCATGTATCTCACCTGATGATGATTTGACAATGAAATTGGACAAATTGACTTATCAGAACTTGTCCAGAATCCAAAAATCTTTAGGGGGGCCCACTTGTGGTTTGGAACAGAGATATAGTGTTGAATACTGGGATGAAGAACCATCACAAAAGAAGTTGGATTCATTGAAAACTTACATCTTGGAGTTGGAAGTACTTAAAGATCTCCCTAAAGGAGCAGCCTATGGTATTAGATATTTATCTTGGAATTTCAATTGTCCCTTATTTCTCGAGAACATGGGTAAATACCTTAAGAACAAAGGAGTTACCATCGCAAGAGGAAAATTGAAACATATCGCTGAAGCTCCTGGAGATGTTGTGTTCAATTGTACGGGACTTGGAGCTAGATTTCTTGGTGGTGTAGAAGATCTGAAGGTTTATCCTACTAGGGGACAAGTGGTGGTGGTCAAAGCTCCTCAGATCAAGGAAAATAGAATGAGATGGGGTCCTGATTATGCAACTTACATTCTCCCCAGACCTTATTCCCATGATCATGTGGTATTGGGAGGCTTCTTACAAGTCGACAATTGGACTGGTGATACTTTTGGATATGAAACTGAAGATATTTTGAAGAGAACAATTGAACTTTATCCAGAAATCGGTGAACCCGAAGTGGTGAGAGTGGCTGCTGGTTTGAGACCAAGTAGAAAAGGAGGTGTCAGAATAGAGAAAGAGAGAATCGGTAAAAAGGTAGTGATCCATAATTATGGAGCTTCTGGTTATGGTTACCAAGCTGGTTATGGAATGGCCAGTGAAGCTGTGAAGTTGTATTTGGGTAGTAAATTGTAGTGACAGATCGTGTGATAATTTAGTGCGATGCTGGTGCTAGAATTTACCACTATTTAGTGCGGCCAGTAAACCTTTCAATTATATAGTAATCAATTCTATATACTTAATATTCACCCTTATCTCTAATCATAATACTAAATGGAATAAAAGCAACCGAAACAAGTCCTTTTATAAGTAAATAATTGGCTGATAATGACCGGTGATCCGAAATGACCACTGGTTGTTATCAGCTTATCTTATCAGTCGCAATCGGTAGACCGGTTTTTCTCCATAAATACACCTTCACTTGCTGATTTATTCCTCATGTTGTTTGTCAATTGTACAATTATTACTGTCAATGCTACCAGGGATATCATCAAAGATGGTGCTATTGCTGTAGCAGATGATATCATTGTAGCTATAGGTAAAACCCTGGATCTCATCCAACAATATGGTGAAGATGAGAGAATTGATCTTAGTAGTCATATCGTCATGCCAGGATTGATCAGTCTCCATGTTCATTTAGCTCAATCCTTACTTCGTACCGCAGCAGATGATTTGCCGTTAATAGAATGGCTCTGTGATAGAGTTTGGTGCATGCAAGGATGCTTCACAGAGGAGGATGGGTACGTAGCTTCCAAATTAACCATTGCTGAAATGCTCAAGAGTGGTACAACAACGTTTGTAGAGTCGTTGTTCGCTGAAAGATACGGATTCGGCGGTGCTGTGAAGGCGGTTGTAGAATCAGGAATTCGTGGATGTTTAGGTAAAGTTGTCATGGACCAGCCACGATATGCTACTCAAGAGGGTATATCCATGCACCCTGGACTCATTGAAGATGAAAGGTCTTTGGACAATGCTGTCAAATGTCATCAAAAGTATCATGGTGACGGCGATGGTAGAGTGGAAGTATGGTTTGGAGCTAGAACCCCTGGAGGTGTTTCTGAGGATTTATATCGAAGAATGATCACTATGGCCAGACAAAACGATATTGGAATAACCATGCACTGTGCTGAAGTTAAAGCGGATAGAGAATTTTTTGCCTCCAATGGCCACACCCCCATGACTTATTGTCAGGATTTGGGCCTTTTAGCTCCCAGAACAGTACTAGCACATATGGTACATTTAGATGATGAAGATATCAAGATTTTGGCTGGAACAGGAGCATCAGTTGGACATTGTCCCACTTCAAATGCAAAGCTAGGTAGTGGGGTTTGTAGAGTGAAGGAACTCTTGGAACATGATGTTCCTGTCGGTATTGGATGCGACGGTTGTCCATGTAATAATACCATGGATCTTTTGCAGGAGATGAAAATGGCTTCATTGATGCCCAAGGCTATCCACGGTGACCCTTCGCTTGTTCCTGCTGAGAAAATTATAGAAATGGCTACTATCATTGGTGCTAAAGCTTTAGGCAAAGACCATGAGATCGGGTCAATTGAAGTCGGTAAGAAAGCAGACTTTATTTCTATCAATTTGACCGACAAGCTTTATGCTCAGCCCATGAGAGACCCTGTGCTGATGGTGGTATATATTGCGACTGGAAGTGACGTCGATACTGTTGTAGTAGATGGAAAGGTCGTTGTTCAACAGGGTAAGTTATTGACAATTGATGAACAGAAGTTGATTCAACAGGCCAACATTCATGGAGAAGCTGTAAGAGAAAGGGCCGGAATCATAGTTGACTCAAGATGGCCCGTTGTGTAGAGTTTAGGCCTATGTTCTAAATATATATGTCTATAAATTGCTGTACAGAACTACTGTGAAACAGCAGCCATGGCTTCTTCCAAAGGAAGTTCCTTTATACTGTAGCCACTCCACAAAGAAATTTGAGTGAGTCCTTGATAGATCATGGCAGTAATACCTGAGATCACTATCCAACCACTAGCTTCAAACTCTTTGTATAACTCTGTCACTACAACCGGGTTATAACACATCTCAAGCACAGCTCCAGTGGATCTATTCATAAATACTGATAATGTCTCTTTAGCAAGTATCTCAGATGGTGTAGAAGGGGAAAAATTGGGTACACAAAGAACAGCTAATTTGGGTTGACCACAGTTGTTTGCTTGTTCTGGAGTCTCAATGTGGACTATATCAATATAAGGAGCTGACTGATTCATTGAAGCTTTCAAATCATTGATTTCTCCTTTATCTCTGTTGATAATGTATACTTGTTTGCAGCCAAAGAACTTATAAAGAGCATAAACTGCAGACCGCGAGGCTCCCCCACCACCATACACCAAACCTGGGGCACCGTTATTCAGGTTGGCGATTTCAACTGCTTCGGTTTGTAAAAATGATTCTTTAATACCTACAGTATCAGTATTGGTACCAATTTTCAATTTTTCACCTGTAGGAGATAATCTGGTATAAACGGTATTTATGGCCCCTACCCCAGTACCGATTTCATCAGTATGGTCCACTTCACTGAGAAAAGCAACTTTGTTAGGCATGGTCACAGCACTACCTATAACGTTATCGGAAGCAAATCTTTCATGGAATTTGGATTTTTGATCGGTCTCTTCGATCTGATAATTCCAGTTAATACCCAACTGTTTGAAGATGGTGTTACATAATAACGGGGCTTTAGACTTACCTAAATGGAGTCCAAATAAGTAAAACTGACAAGACTTAGACCTTAGTTGTTCAAAAGGTTCTGTTGGAGGAAGATTAGTGAAGTCCATTGATGGTAGATTGGTGGTGCGAGAATTTAGTACCGGCGCGGTAGCGGTAGCGCAGGTACCATATTTGTGTGGTAAGGGCACACTGATAAAATTTACCATACCCTCGCACTACATTAGAGGGGAACTTCGTGCTACGCTCGATAGAGATTCTGCCATAATTAGAGCCATTTTCGGTATCCATATATTGTTTCACGCCGCTCATCTCAAGACCAACTATCGGGACCAAAGAATCCCTTACCAGGGATATTTAAATATGGAGACAACTGTCCATCAGCTGTATTACCATAAACATCATTACCCCACCAAGATAAACTAACTCCTGGGAGGGAAAGACAGAAGAAAATGAAAATTCCTGAGAGTGCTACTCCAATGTCTAAAGCACAAGATAACACAAAATTGTATTTCAACCACCAATTACCCCATCTCTTCTTAATATAGTAGTTGAATAACAAACCTACAGCTGTTCCAGCAGTATAATTGATACCAGTAGCTGGTGGATAGTTACCCATAGCCCCAAATACCACCACCCAATTCCAATTCTTCAAAACTGTGACGCTTGGGAATTTCTTCTGTAATGCCCAAGTGATTAACACAAGTACTGGACCGATCCAAAACAAATGAAGGAAACCAGAGTAGATTTTTCCTGGGGAAACTAATCTTTTCGGTCCCACGAGGGCCCACACTACTGAAGCTGCAAAATTAGTAGTACCTTGGGGACAAGTGAAATGACTTACTTGGTCAGCACTACAGATATCTTCTACATTGTTTAACATGGCTATGAGTATACCCACTTGAACCAAAGCTCCTACGATACATGATGAAAGTTGGGCCCAGAAAACAGTCCGTTTTGGCACTTTCATATAATATCCTAATTTCATATCTTGGGAGAATGCCATGGCTTGGGATACCCCAGTGTATGCATAAAATTTCCAAGCAAGTGATACGATCGGCTTTGCTGGATTAATAGCGTACCCAGCAATGATTTGACCTAAGACTGTCATACAATTGGTGTTGATGTTGGTACGAGCATATACAATACCAATGGGAAGAATGAACAAGAATACCATAAATAAGGCAATAGTGATACCATAAACAGGGAATTTCGAATCATAAACTTCCATAGTAACTATTGTGAGGGCATATATCAATACTATGAGAACTGCATACCACCATCTTGGTACCGAAGGGTATTTGTTCATCAATCTGACATGAACATCCTCTTTAACTCCTCTGGTGAAAGTACCATAAATATCTTTACCATGATACAATACTACATATACCACTGAAGATGATAACACTGCGTAAGATAACCCATAACTGATAGCGTAGGTAGAAGCAAGGAATGGTGGGGAATAGGCTTTATATGCTTGCTCATCCAAAGACATGGTAGAAAGGTCCAATACTCTAGACCCGTTGTAAGTATTCCCTGTATTGTCAAAGACAGTACTACTTGAAATAGGTAAATAGGCAAAGAACATGGAATTCTTGTAGTACAAAATCAAAGGGAGAATCCCAAAAAATATCACCCAGCCAAAAATAGTCATTATTTGGGGCCAAAAAGGTATCAAAAGTGGTGAACCATTAGCATAGGAAATTTGAGACCAGTCAAAAGTAATTGGTGAGAACCCTAAACCTTGTACTTGCCCAAATATTTGGTTAACTACAACGTTTTTAGGAACTATCCAACAAATCCATGTAAAATAACTGAGAGCTTGGAAAAGGAATCCTGGAAGGAAATAATATGTAAAAGATCCAGCAAACACTATAAGGAAAAATTTGTATCTACTGATAGACCAACCATCAGCAATGGAGTTGGTACGAGAATGTAGCGAATCAAACAAGGCTACATTGGCCATTGTATTGGGCCAGTAATTATAGGAATCTTTGACTAAAATCTCATCCATAAGACCTGCCACACCCAAACCAAATAATTGACAGGTTAATACCATAAGAATTTGGTACCCTGCTGGTGCAGGTACTCCATAAATATATTGGGCTTGGATCACATCAGTGGCCCATGAAGCAGTAAAAGAAATATTAGCCATGATTGTAATGATTGTATGTTCCTTCTTATTAAACTTACGGTCAGGGTTCAATACAAACTTTCCTAACTTTCCCAAATCGAATTCCCATAGTGGAAGAATTTGGGCCAAACCTTGACCCAAAGGATATGATACCAATTGGGCCACAATTGACGAAATAGTGATCCCAGGATATCTCAAGGAAAAGAAAAGATTAATACCAGATCCAACTATAGTGAAGATAATACCCAAGAACCAAGCTCTGAAGGTGTTCACAGGTAAGTCTTCATCGGTGGGTTTAACTACTGATCTGACCTCAGGCAATGGAGCATCATCAGCCGATTCGTCAAGGATATCATTGGCCCCGTAGGTTGGTATATCATTTGATGTTATGGAATCATTGACCTCTTCTCTGACATAAACGTCTTTCTCTAACTCCGAAGCTTTGATCTCTGCTGCTGTTTTCGATTCCATTGCTACTATTAGTGCAACTGGATCGTTGAAATTAATATGTAAAATAGATCAGACGGAGTTTTATAGAGATTTGACCCGCAAAAAAAAAGATAATAAAACTTTATCTATTGAATTCCCAGGAAAGGCTGCAAAAAACAATCCGCACGACATTTTTTCGCAATAATTTCCGCATAATCCCTCGATTAGAGTTACCTATAAAACCTTAGATACCCAATTTGAGATATCGTGTAAGTCGCCAACATGGCCGTCCCCTCCAAATCTATCTTGCACACGATCTTTCGAAGTTTCAGGTCTCCATTTCCATTTATTCCTCTTTTCTTCGTCTAAAGCAATAGGACCGTAAGTTACTAATCTGGCAATATATTTACCAATAATGGGCATATGTTTGAAACCATGTCCTGAATCACCAGTAGCTAATATCAATGAAGAATTGAAATCGGGGTGCTCGCATATAAGGAAGTTTCGATCAGGGGTATCAGTACACCAACAGATCTTCGTTTCCACAAACTCCCTGTCCTTGAACTCAGGTAAAGTGTCGCTAAGAAGCTTTCTTATATCTAGTTCTGCTGCCTTAGGTATTTGTGACTTGTATAAGGGTATGGAATTATCTGGTTCGTCTCCGGATACGTAATTAGTGTACCCCGGAAACTCGTTGCAAATCTTCAATTCATTCTTGATTGGATCGGGTTCGAAAAAGAAGCCTTGTTCATAGTTGAGAACCACAGGCATATTTTTGAACTTTTTGGCTTCGTCTTTAGATAGCTTTATATGAGCTACGGTCCAACATTTGGCCAAAAGCTGGTTTTGGAATTTGAGTAATTTAACGGAGGATGCACCTGCGCTGATGATGATTTTATCAGCAAGAATACTTTCTCCGTTGGAGAGAAGACACCCGGTCACAGAAGAATCGCCATAAATGAGTTCACTGACTTCTCCCACCACAAATCTTCCTCCTAATCTGGAGATTTCTCTACCAGCAGATACCAAAGTGTCTCTAGCATGAGCCCAACCACATTCAGCTGGTTGAAAGAAACCCTTCCATTTCTTTAATGGTCCAGTCAATTGGGGAACTATCTTCTTAAAATCGTCTGACTTGTTCATTAATACACATTTGAATCTTCTATTAGTCTTTTCACAATATGATTTCACATCCAATAACTCCTTGTATTCAGAACTATCTGTTCCTTGGCTAGTGGAATAAAGAATTCCAGTCTCATGGAAGTGAGGAAAGAACACTGGATCAGTCTGCCAACCTTCCAATGCTTCAATTGCAAGGGAATTAGTCAAACAATGATCTTCCTGGTATGAAGATTGCACTATCTTATTTATATCATAACCTGCACTGATCTCTGAAGGTACCTCATAAGGATCCACCAAGGTAACATTCTTGAATCCGTTTCTCAAGAGCCATAAGCCTGTAGATAATCCAAAAGTCCCAGCTCCTACAATAACGATTTCCTCCTGCTTAACGTTCATCAGTAACTTTGAGGAATATCATGGAATGATTTGCGGTTATCTACAAATTCCGCATCAGTTTTGCGCATTCCTCAACCACTTGACACATAATGTCGTCTTATGTTATCAACTATCTTTGTAGCTGGTAATGACATGATGCTGGGGGAGGTTTAAGTAGCTTTTTCCAACACATTTGAAATTCAAGGTCGCAAGGAGGCGAAATAAATTGTATGGATTATTTTCAAAAGTTTTTAATTGGTGGCTTTATTATAAATGCTCACGTGATGGGATCTAATCAGAAAGCCATAATATGTCCAAATACCGAAATGTTAGATCTGGGATCTACATAGTTACACCTATCATTGTGTCCCGGAAATTTGTAGGTTGCAGATATTTGATTTGGACACTAAAATAGTAATTCTATCTTCCGTTTTCTCTTAATTCTCGTTATCTGTGGATTCTCGCTATCTGTTCATCAGCAATTGAATTACAGCATTTTCTTTTCTACCGCCATTGCAACAGATCATTCACTCTTCACTTGATCTTACATCTTTCTCCTACATCGGATCAAGAATAATCCATTGTGTATTACTAATCTCGTAGTCACTATGGATTTCCACAATTTGTATCGATTGCGAACCTTAGTAGCCACATAAAATGTGGGTATTTATAAACCCTAAATCTCTTCTCTAAATCCTTATGACTTTCTGGAATAGAATCAAGAGTGAATTAGTTGGCCCAGAGCTTCAGGTTGCCAAATCTGTGAGTGATACCGATTCTGGTAAGGATAATATCAAGGTTTCTACTGAAGAAGTTGATGCACCCTTTATCGATTTGACTTTATCCTTAACAGACGAGGAGTTGAAGTATAGAGAAACTTCAAGAATCTATAAGATCAAAAAGTTTCTCTGGGATGGAACTGGGAGACATCCTAAAGAACAAAGATATTTGCTCAAGCTTGATTTCTTTCTCTTGAGTTCCTCAATGTTGGGGTATTTCATCAAGAACTTGAACCAGTCCAATGTAACTACAGCTTATGTTAATGGTATGTCAGAGTATTATAACATGAATAACAATCAATACAATTCTCAAGTGTTGACTCCATGGACTGTAGGATATATCGTTGGTCAGATTCCATCAAACTTGATTCTTCATAGAATCTCAGCCAGATATTATTTAGGGTTCTTAGAGATTACATGGGCTGTTTTGACGGTATTAATGATTACTTGTAAAACCATTGGTGGTATAACAGCTATAAGATTCTTTGTGGGGCTTACAGAAGCCGGTTACTTTCCTGGATTGGAATACTTATTAGGTTCAAATTATTCTGCTTCTGAGATCTCCAGTAGATCCTCATACTTTGCCATTGCTGGGAATGCTGCTGGTTTAATCTCTGGTCCCTTACAATTAGCCATCTTAAAGAGATTTCCCAATGCTTCCATTAAACCTTTCCAAATGATGTTTGTCTTTGATGCTGTGATCTCATTCCCAATAGCTATTTACACAATGTTCGTTGATCCCAATACTCCATCCACCACAGATGTATTCTACTTTTCCGAGGAGGATAAACTTGTTGGGTTGGAAAGAAGAAGAAGAATGGGAGCTCAGTTGAATACAAGAGAGAAATACACTTGGTCCAAAATCAAGAGTTTCTTCAATACCTGGCACATATATGTTTTCCCCTTATTGTTTTTGTGTTACAATAATTCATGTGGAGCTTGGAGTCAACCAACCTTTCAAACTTGGATCAAACAAAGTCTCAAGTTAGGACCTGAAATTTATAATACTTATCCTTCAGCTGTTACTGGTATTGGTATGGGACTCACCATTTTGTTTGCTTACGTCAACAATTATCTAGGAGGTAGAAATAACTTTGTATTTGTCTCGTTGTTCTTCATCATGGTGATGGTAGGTTGTGTCTCTTTGAGTATCTGGGATATTTCTAGAGGTTGGCACTGGGTTTCATATTTCATCATTGGAGCTCCTACATCTTGGGGACAACCGATGATTTTCAGTTGGTTGAATAGACTTTTATTTGAAGATGATATGAAAAGAAATTTTTTGGTTGTATCTACCAATGTTTTGGCCTATGTTACCAATGCTTGGGTTCCTATATTGGTTTGGGATACCAGAGATCAGCCAGAGTATCATATTGGTTTTAGCTATACTGCGGGACTTTGTGGTTTGGGGTTGATTTTAACAGCAATTGCCACATTCTTAACATTTAGGGATGAGAAGAGAAATAGACTGATCGATGATGAGACCGCTTAATCACATTAATTCGTGTATTCTATATATATATTTATTCTTTCTTAACAGCTAATTTTCCTGGAACATAAGGGAATTTTTCTTGGAAATGTTTAGCAATATCTCTTCTGGTAGTAACCCAGACACCTTCCTTTTCACTTATATATTTCATGAAGTTTCTTAAAGCATTGATTCTACCTGGTTTACCAATGATTCTTGAATGTAAAGGAATGTTCATCATTCTACCACCTTCACGGTATAATTGGTCGAATTCTTGTTTCAAGTAATCTTCGTAAACGAAAGCACCAGGGAAACCTGGACCTGGGTTTGATGAGACAAATTTATAATCATTGGTGACATAAGCATATGGAATCATTAATAAACCTTCCTTTTCTTCATCAGGTAATTCTCTTTCTTGAGGTAAATCAACCCAAAATGGTAAATCATCACCATAACAATCGGATTCCCAGAGGAATGGTTTACCTAATTGTTTGTGAGCTTCTCTAACTAAAGCTGGAGTATTGATGTTACCTCTACCGATATAAGCACCAACTGGAGCTTCACCAGAACTTTCTTCTAATAATAAGATAGCAGCTTTGATCATTTCAATTTGTTCTTCATCAGTACAGTTACCCCAATTGATCCAACGTAAACCATGGTTACCAATTTCATGACCATCTCTTACACAGGCTTTAGCAAAATCTGGGTTCTTAGCAAAAGCTTGAGCAACAGCATAAAGAGTCATTGGGAAGTTAAATTCTTTCATTAATCTTAAAACTCTCCAACAACCAGCTCTTGAACCATATTCGAATTCACCTTCACTCATTAAATGTCTAGCATTTTTAAGTTCAGTAGCTGGACCACATTTTTCCCAAATATAACTTTCAGAACAATCATCACCATGACGAATGTTACGTTCAGCACCTTCTTCATAATTTAAAACGAATGAAACAGCGATCTTAGCACCATTTGGCCATTCTGGATCTACTGGAGTTTCACCGTATCCAGTTAAATCACGATCCATTTCCCATTTACCCAATTCTTGGGGTTTAAAATCCATAGTATCCATATTGTCTTGTGTTAATGCCTAGCAAAATCCCATGGGATCATACCGTCGCTTTATATACTTATCGTACTTTGGAAATGATTTCCGTCGCGACATCGGAAACCGCTGATAACGCTCGCATTTTCCGCTCAATGAGATAACGCATCGGAATGGTTCCGTTCACAGATATGATTAGATTCACACCCGATTGTATAAAGACAGAATCCGCCCATTTCTTATCATTTGAGCCATGAGTGTATTCACTTTCGACAGTAAAACCACAAAAGTCACTTCAGATGATATTATAGCCATCAACAATCAATTTGGTGTTGAAGAAAAAGATGCTACCAGTTTAGATCAATATACTAGTTTGTTAGCAGTATTCCATGACGCATGTGAAGAACTCGAATCAATGGATGATTTCATTCCTTCTGTTGATTATGAAAGATTCCCAAGGGAAGCTATTCATAGACCTGAAGAAAAGGATAACAAGTTAAATGCTTGGGCTTATAAAGTCACTATCAAAGATCAAAAACCAAAAGAAGGTAGAAGATTATTAGAAGGACATAAAGTAGCTGTCAAAGATTGCGTGGCTGTTGCTGGTGTGCCAATGCTTTTAGGTACTGACTTTATTAAAGATTATGTTCCAAAAACCGATGCTACTTTGATTACCAGATTACTTGAAGAAGGTGCTATCATTAAGGGTAAATCAGTTTGTGAAAATATGTGTCATTCAGCCACATCACATTCTGCAGCTACTGGTCCTGTTCAAAATGCTTTAGCTGATGGTTATTCCACTGGGGGTTCATCATCAGGTTCAGCAGCTTTAGTCATGGACCCTAATGAAGATGTCACCATTGGTATTTCATTCGATAATGGTGGTTCATCTAGATTACCAGGTGCTTGGAGTGGTGCTGTAGCTATCAAGCCTACTTTTGGTCTTATCCCATGTACTGGGTCTGCTAGTAATGAAGCCACCAATGATTACCCTGGTGTATTAACCCAAGATGTTTTGACTAACGCTATGGGTTTACAAGCTATCGCTGGTAGTGATGGTATTGATGATAGAGGATTTAATAGTATTACCACTCCTTACTATGATGATTTGTTAGCTTCTGATAAAAGCTTGAAAGGAATGAAAATCGGGATCTTGAAAGAAGGTTTCGACAGTCCTGCTGTTGAAGAAAGAGTTAAAGAATCTTGTTTGAAAGCTATTGCTCAGTTTGAAGCTTTAGGAGCTGTTGTAGAAGAAGTAAGCATTCCATTCCATTCTAAAGGTGCTTTAATTTGGACTGGTATTTCAAAACTTGGAGGTTATTTAACCAAAACTGGTGCTGCCATCGGTAGAAGAGGTTATGTTTTACATGATCTTGATGAAAAACTCCTGGAAGCAATCCATGATCAAGAAAGATGGGAAAAGGCATATCCTTCAACCAAAAACATCTACTATAATGGTGCTTACGCTACCAAGAAATTCCCTACTTTGTATTCCAAATGTCAAAATTTATCATTAAAGTTAAAACTTGCCTATAACAAAGCTTTAGAAGAATACGACTTGTTGGTATTGCCTACAGTTCCTTATGTTGCCAGATCCCATGCTGTTGTTGGACCTGATGCTAAACCATTTGACTTATTAGGTAAACAATTAGGTTTAAGTGCTAATACATGTGGATTCAATCAAAGTGGTCACCCAGTATTGGCGCTCCCTTGTGGAATGTTACCAATCCAAGAAGGTCCTTTAGCTAACAGTGGTACCAAGTTACCTGTCTCCTTACAATTAGTAGGTAAATGGTGGGATGAAAAGACCATTTACAAAGCTGCTTATGCTTGGGAACAAAACAATAATTGGAAAGAAATGTAAATATGTTCATAATTCGACTTTAATAGATATTATCCTGACCACTTCTAACATCCTTACTCTAAATATCATAGAACCTCCTACAGTTGGGCATAGAATTTACCTTTGCGTATATTAGTTATCATCCAAAGATTTTAATCCTCGATCCCTTATAACTACACTACTTACAAGACACACTGACATACAGCCAATCCAATAATAAAATACATTTTTTAATCCCTTCATATAGGCCATCCTGAGATAAGTCACTTGTTCAGGACTGAACTGACTAAACAGGACGGTATATATCTTGGATCTTAACACCAACAACTCTTCGGCAGTGAAGAGACCATGACTGTCTTTGAGGAAACTTATATATCCATTTGATAATATAGAAGCACCTACAGCTAATCCTGCAGCTCCTCCCAAAGATCTCAAGACATTTCTTGTACTGATTACCACAGCTCTATCTTTTTTAAATGACTTTGCTTGAGCTGCCACTAAGGTAGGCTGGAAGATAGCTCCAATTCCAGACCCATTGATTATCAAACTTATTATCACTACTCCTATATTTGTATGGTTGCCCCATAATACCAACAAACACATTCCAATTAGCCAACAAGAGTACCCGTACCAGACTACAAAAATATAATGACCGGTACGAGAAATAACTTGTCCACAAATAACAGAGGTAGTAGCTTGTGGAAGCACTAAACACAAAAGGAACAACGATGTATTGACCACTGATTTATCCCTGACCATTTGAAAATAATATGGATAGTAAAAAACATTTCCGTAGTATGCCATACCAAAGAAAAAATTTTGTAAAAGAAGAATGGTTAAGGAATAATTAGTGTGAAACAACTTCAACGGAATCATTGGAAGTACTGCCACCTTCTTTTCAATGACCAAGAACACTCCTAATGCTACCACTCCAATGACCAAGAATGATATTACCATAGGATTACTCCATTTGAAATAACTTCCACCTCCAGAAATGGGTATAAGAATAAAATTTATAGCCACAGAACTAAAGAAGAATCCCAAATAGTCAATTTTCGCTAACTTCTCCTTTAAGGAAATATCAGGTCTTGTATATGGAACCAACCAAACAATGACTAATGAGGCGGCGATGATGGTTGGGCACATAAAATAATAAAGGTTTCTCCATGACGACGTTCTCGACAAGAAGGCTGAGGCGAGGAAAGGTCCGATGGCATTACCAATACCAACACAACTTCCTAAGATACCTTGATATTTACCTCTTTGTTGTAAGGTAACCACATCACTAACTATGGTCATGGTCAATGATGTTATGGCACCATTTCCAATTCCACAGAAACCTCTAAAAACGAATAATTGATATTGATTACGGGCTAACCCACAAGCCAAATCGAAAACAGCTAATATAATCATTCCCGCTACCAAAACATACTTTCTACTGAATATATCAGCGAACCTACCAAACATTACCATAAAAGCAGTGGTTGACATCAATGAAGCAGTACCAGCCCATGAAATTGTATCTTCAGCATCAAATTCTTCTCCCATGTATGGCAATAAAATAGTTATACTGGTTTGATCTACGAAACTGAGAAGTAAAGCAAGTGCCATACCAGAAAACACCATGACCAACTTCCTTGTTGATAGAAGGTTTTCATGGGAGTCTGCCAACACTTCAGCAACATCTATACTAGTACTATCTTTCTTCTCTTCACTCATGGATCCATCAACTGTTGCAAATTTGCAACAATAAATGTCTCGTTAATGCGACGGAATTTTTCCGCTTTATCGGAAGCTTTCCTAAATGCCGCGATAAGCACTGATAAGGCTCATGGTGCGATACTGAAAAATTATATAAGAAGACATCGATGGATCTTATATAACAATAGGAATTAAATGTCAGGCTTATTGAAACGTTTAGAAGTTGGAAATGCTCCCAAGGGACATGTTTGGTATAACAAAGATCTTTTACCAACTCCGGTTGAATCAAGAACTTGGAATGTCTATCATTTCTTATTTTTTTATTTCACCACCTCATTAACACCTTCCTCGTATAATTTGGGAAGTACTTTGGTTTCTATGGGTTTGCTTTATTGGCATGGTATTATTTGTGCTGTTGTTGGTAGTTTCTTTCTTTCTATCATATTGGTTTTTAATTCAAGAGCTCCAGCTGTTTATCACTTAGGTTTCCCAACCATCGTTAGATCCGTTGCTGGAATGTATGGGTCATATTTTTTCATTTTTGTTAGAATTTCTGTTGCCACCATTTATTTTGCTGTGCAAACATATTTTAGTGCCAACTTAATGTCAGTATTATTGAGATGTGTCTTCGGTCATAAATGGGCTAATTTGGAAAACACTTTATCTGCTAATTCTGGTGTTAACTCAAAAGTTTTATTATCATTTTTCATTGTTTGGTTAATCCAAGGTCCTTTGATGTTCTTACATCCTAAACATCAAAGACATATCTTCACCATCAAGATGTTCACCACCACTGCTGCTTTATTCGGGGTATTTGGTTATTGTGTTAGAAAAGCTGGTGGTACTTTAGGAACTCCAGAATCTTTAGCAGAAGGTAGAGTTTATGGTACCGATTTAGCTTGGGGTATTGTAAGTGGTATTAACTCCATTATGGGTGCTTTATGTCCTATTTTAATTAATACCGGTGATGTTGTTAGATATGCTAAAAAACCAAGTGACGCTGCTTGGATTCAATCATTTGCTGTCTTATGTTCCAAAGTTTTGATCACTTTCCTTGGTTGTGGTACTACTTCAGCTGCCAAAGTTTTCTTAGGTAAAGCCTTCTGGAATCCTTGGGATTTATATGATGCCTTATTAGACTATAACTGGTCTCCATCAATGAGAGTTGGTATCTTCTTTGCTTGTTTGGGTATGATTATTGCTTTAGTTGCTGTTAATCTTGGTACAAATTGTTTACCTGTAGGTGCTGATCTTACTGGTATGGCTCCAAGATATATCACAATTGTTAGAGGTCAATTCTTATGTTGGTTAATCTGTCCATTATTATTCCCATGGAAGATTGTTTCAAGTGGTTCTGCCTTCTTAGCTTTCTTGGGAAGTTATTCTGTCATGTTATGTCCAATTTGTGCGGTCATGATTTATGATTACTTCATCATCAAAAAAGGTAATCTCCATATCCCTTCATTCTATAACCCAGACAAAAGTTCAATGCTTTGGTACGAAAGCCGTGTTGGTGTCAACTGGAGAGCTATGGCTGCTTGGCTCGGTGGTTTAGGTTTAACTATTTCTGGTGTTTCTAACTCCGTTAAACCAGGTTCCATCGGTGATGCTGCCATCAAAATTTATAAATTAGGATTTTTGCTTTCCTTTACCAGTGCTTTCTTATTCTACGGAATTATTTGTTACTTCTTCCCAGTCAAACAACCATTACCAAATAACATGGATATCAAAGAAGTTAAATTCGAACAATTCAGTGAAAACGATGGTTACCTCGATGGTGAAACTATCTTCGATATTGAAGGTTTAAATGAATCTTTAGGAGAAGGTGATGTCGAATCTACTTCTTCATCTTCTGAAAAAAGAGGCCAAATACTCGTTCATGAAAGGGAAGTTTAAAAGGTTAGTTTATAGGTGATTGTAATAATATTAATATATACTTGGTAAAAAAGAAATCTACATAAAGTCGCCTCTTAGTTGAGGAATTTCATCATCAAAAGATGCTACTCTGTTCATAAAAGTATTAAAATCATGATCTTGATAGAATTCAAGCTTATCTTCTTCCACGGCTCCTTGGAGATAATCTATGTCGATTTGTGATATATCATTAAGAACTTTTTGTGGCCCATATGAGTCATATTCTTCTGATTCATCATTAGATCCTATTCTATCTAACAATCTTTCGAAAATCAGACTAAAGCTCTTGCAACTTGGACTTCTAGTACTAAGCAATAGTAAAGTTGCTGAACAACATCTTAATCCTTCACTGATTTTGAACGTAAAAGTCATTTTTTTGGATAATACAGCATATATTATTGTCATTCCACTCAAGAAAATTGTTTGGATACTAATAATGGATAAAAGGTGTTTCCCATTATCATGAATCCTTCTGTTTGTTTTGCAAATCGTTATGGAGCTGTCTATACATGCTGTGAATAACGGATCATCAGAATCCAAAAGGTTTATGAAGGGTATAATCAGATGTCTCAACAGTTTGTTATACAAATAGGAGTAATAATCATTTTCGAGGGTATTTTGTCTTTGGGGTGTGCTCTGTTTCCAACGATTTAAATCTTCCTTGATCTCACTGATGGCATCTCTCGGTATATCAGTAATAGATTTATCAACAGCATAGATCTTCTCTTGTATTTTACTGTCTATTCTTCTAAGTTCAAAGTTTTTGATAGCCATAGTCAAGGTAGTGAAGGGAGTATTGACTGGTTGCAAAACCAAATTTTCAATGTTGTACTGAGGATATTTGCTATAAAAATGGTTCTTGATTATAACAGGATCTCTAATCGACTCTTCGATATCAAGTGGTAAGTCAACATCGATATCTCTATCACTTATTGAATAGGGTCTTCCGAAACTATTGGCTATGATTCTATCCAAGGAATAAGTTGACCAGAATAATCTACTGTTCAATTGATATTTATAAGGATCCTTGGCAAATACTTGAATATTTCTTCTATGCAAACCGAAATCAATACATAACCTCAAAGCCATTCCGATAAGATACCATATTACCTGACCATTTGGAGTTCTTAATTTGTAAACAACCAATAACAATAAAGCATAGATATTGGCTGTGGTTTCTGTCTTGAATATTACCTGCAAATCACTATTTAAGGCAGCTTTGTAGAATAACATTCTCGCAAACGGAACATGTGATAATTTGGAATTGTTGGGTCGCAAGTAAGATCCTACAGCATAAATCATTAAGATAAGAAATCTATCCATAGCAGACTTTTCATCTCTTTGAAAGAAAAGTTCACTTCTACGTTCATGTAATGACTCGATATAAAGTCTATCTAGGAAGGGGTATCTCTTGTGCATGATTGTTATGTAACTTTCCAAGAAATAGTCCATCAACTTCTGGTCTTCTAGCAATATTTGAACGAAATTATTAGGATCTCCTGATATGTCTTCATATATATCATTGGTCGATGAATTATCAGTAGTATCATCATGGATTAAATAGTATTGGATCAAATTAGCAATACTGAAGGATGATGACCCCACATATATGGGATTGGAATCATCTTTCAAAGGAATGAACGCCGTACATTCCACTAAATTCTTGTTGCCTGATTCAGTAGAAGTAACACTCTTCACACTACCGTGGTCTCCAGGACTACCTTTGCCTTTTTCTTCCAGTAGTTGTAGTTCTAAGTCACCCACTTTCTTCTCCAAAAATCTGACTTTATCCTCTAATGATTTAACATACGATGGTCTAGTCTTGTCATCAAACTCACAGATTTCACCTGATACCATACATTTCGAACAGGGGCTACCTGTTATGTAATTCCCATCGCACCTTTGTTTCCTTTTCTTGCACCGGTTACATGCCACTGCATTCTTGTATTCTCTCCTTCTTTTCACTGCTCCTGCTCCATTCATTATGAGTCTTATCAGTGCGGAAATTAATTACCATAATGAAACTTCTTATCGCGCTGGCGAAAATAATTCGGAATCGCCTGTGGAAGGAGTGGAATGGGTCCGAGAAAGAAATTAACAGAATAAGACTCGTTTTCTAATCTTTTTACTGATGATATTATGAGGCTCTTCAGCAGTAATGAAGCGGTATCGAGTGAGAGCAGTCTTCGAATGTTTCTGCTATTTTAAGATCAGCGTGGGAACTCTGGTTGACATGAGAGAAGTCTTAATGCTATAGCTAGCTACACCTCTGTATCAAGATTGCGTCTGTCAGAGGAATGAATCAATTCCATATCTGCACCAACATTAATAAAGACACTATGTTCACAATTTTTAGTCAATCAAAGCTGGAAAGGATCAGATGGAAACCATGGACACAGTGAGGCTTTATCAATATTGTTAGATGAGATAATTCGTCCATTTCGTTGAAAGAAAAATTACATTATTGGAATGGTCAAATGAGGTCTACTGATCTGAACTCAGTGGCTTCTGAATCACAAGGAGCTGTTGATTTCACTAATTCTTGAATGGTGTTTGAAAGGTACTGGATTTTTATGGTTGCTGCAACTATTGCGATAATGGGAGAAGATGTTACAGCCTTTGTCACTTAGAATTTTTAAATATCCCCTACTTCGTTGAAAACTTATAATCATGGTCTATATGATTGATGATTCGCATTTGTGTCAAATTTAATTCTGACCTTTACAATCATTCTGAATTGATAATCTGCCAAAGTCAACTATGTAGTTAAACAGCAAATTGTGATACTCCTCGATAGTCCTTCCTTTTGTTCGATCTTGGTAATGCAGACATGTTTAATAATTTATTCACATTTACCGAAATACGATCTATGGTCCATAAAATAGGATGTGAAGTATGAGAAATATGGCTGAAGGGTATCCTTCCAAAATTCTAACGAATCTCGGTCCATTTTGAGGTGTCTATAGGTATCGGGAACGTCTAAATAAGCATTGGTAATCACATCGGTCTTATCGGTGACTTGAATATTTTCACTTTTTCGTGATACGGAAATGAAGTGCGGATTTAGGCTACAGACATAGGAAATAAGCGCTAGACGGTAATTCTGCGTTCCGCTAATTTGAGAATCAATTTTGTATAAAAACGCCCTGTATCACAGCAGTAAAGGAGAGGCCATTCGAAATATGCAAGAAGTCTTTGTCTCTGGTGCTAGTGGGTATATTGCTCAAAATATTGTTAAACTTCTAATCTCCAAAGGTTACAAGGTTATCGGAACTGTCAGAACTGCTGCCAAAGGTGAACAATTGAAGAAAGATGCTGGGGAAAATTTCGACTACGAGATTGTTGAAGATATCGGTGTTCCAAATGCTTTCGATGAAGCTTTGAAAAAACATCCTCATTCATATGCATTTTTACACACTGCATCTCCAGTCACTTTAGCTACAGAGGATATTGCCAATGATATCATCAAACCTGCTGTTGAAGGTACCTTGAATGCTTTAAAATCAATTCAAAAATACGGTTCCAATGTTAAGAAAGTGGTTATTACATCATCTGCTGTTGCCAAAATCGATGCAAAGAACATGAATAACCCAGATGCGGAACTTGTTACTGGAGACTCTTGGAATCCGATCACTGATGAGGAAGGGTTACTCAACCCTACATTTGGTTATTTTGTAGCCAAGCGTAACGCTGAAAAAGCTGCCTGGGATTTTGTCAAAAACGAAAAAGTTAAGTTCAGTTTGAATACCATTGCACCTACTTTAGTGATTGGACCTCAAGCTTATGCCAGTGGTGTCAAAGAAACTTTCAATTTCTCCGTTGAGTTATTGAATAGTCTCTTGAAAATGAAGCCTGACTCAAAAATGCCCGTTTTTGATGGTAACTTTGTTGATGTAAGAGATGTTGCCAAATTACACTTACATGCCTTTGAAAGTGATGTTGAAAATTTCTGTTATTTACCAATAACCAATCATTTCTCCATCCAGACTTGTGCAGACATCATCAGGGAAAGGTTTCCTTCTTTAAGGGATACTGTGCCTGTTGGGACCCCCGGTACTGGTAAGGATCTTTACAACAAGAGTCCTCGATGGGATAATAAGAGAACCATGGCTCATTTGGAAAACCCAATACAGTTGGAACAATCTGTTTTCGATACTATTGATCAAATTGTCAATAAATAGACAAATGCGTGAAACTCTCATCCCTAATATCTTTCGAGAGCCTCGAAATTCAAAACTAGATTGATAATCTCTTGTTCTCTTTCACGAAAGAAAGCGAGATTGATTGGCACAGCTGAACTTTATGCCAACACAATTCAATGAATAAGATTTGAAATGAAATTCCAATAAGCCAAAATGTTCAAGTTTCAATACTCGTGTTATTGTGATAGAATTGGCCGGTTTTTGTTTTTTTTATTTTATTTAATTTTAGTTGTAAATATATTTTGATAGTTGATGGGAAGACATGAAAGTTGCAAAAAATAGAAGAAAAAGAATTTTTGAAAAATGTGCGGTTATTGAGAAAAATCAATTTCGTACTTTACCAATGAGTGTAGTGTAATTTTCAAAGCTCTTTAATGATTTATTGAAGTTTTCCGAGAATCTTCAGAGAAAGTCTGTCATAATCACGAAACATTCTACAATTGCATCATGTTATATTGGTCAGAAGATTCAACATCGTTTAATTTAAACTGGGGGGATACTTTTCTCTTTCAAGATATTAAACATTGAATTTAGTGGGACAGAATAAACTTCAGTGCCTTTAAAATTAAGCAAAATAGAAAAGAATTTCCTGATATTGTTCTTTGAAACTCCTAGATCTTCATAAACTAGCCCAATGCCGAATATAGCGATTACGGATGAGGTGATAATAAAAGAAGTATTCATGTTTATGTATACTAATGTATGACTTCGATGGTGAGTTTATTGGCATGAAAATTTTGAAATCATGAGTCAACGAAAACTTGTTGTTATTTGAGCGACTTACTTTTATTAGCTTATTGGACTCTCTGTTATACTCTTCTCCATGGTGTAGGATTAATCATCAAAAAAGACGTCCTCCGATGCAAGTTCGTGTGAGTCGAGATTTTTACGAGCAGGCCAAAAGGCTGCGAAAAATACCACAAACTCACACTTTTTACATTTGTGTGATGAACGAACCTGAACTTTTGAAAAGACAGATATTGGAAGCAAATAGCTTGACAATCAGACAAGGACTGTTCCTTCCCAAAGAAAACGGAAAGTTCACGGAACTCTCCCCAGAAGACGAGGAGCTTCTCAAGGAATTTATGAAAGAAATGAACTGGGAAGCCTCTTACAGGGTTTATTTTTCAATCCCATATCTGTTCACTGTTGATAATAATGTAGATTCAAGACTGGGAAGTTCAGCTGGGAATATCACTGTTTCTAGTTCGCAGTCTGCTGCACGCCCAAAGGGATCTACAAGTAAAGCTGATAACTATTTAAGGGATGTGATTCCTCAATGGACAAGAAAGATCACAAATGAATGGCTTGATTCAAAGTTCTACCAAGTAGATAACAAGCTTAGAAAGGTTTGGTCAAAGTTGGCTGATTTCATTGAGAACAAAAACTGGGCGACTGCTTCTCAAGCACTCAAAGATATTTTTTCAATAAGATCTCAATTGCCAAGGAGAATTCGACTAAGAAATGACTGTCTGGAGAGTAATGTAGTTTTGGAATTCAATTCTGGGATTAATCCAGAATTGAGAACATATTTGGCAACGCTAGATTTGGAAGTAGGTTCTCAAACTGCTACCTTCCAATTATCAGAACCGCCTCTTTCCTCACGCCCAGACTTTGCTTTTTTTGAAACGAATGGATCTGATATTTATTTCTTCATTGAGTTTAAAAAACATGGGTTGATCAATTATGTGGATGAGAACGGTATAAAAAATAATCACGAGATGAACACGATTATGAAGCAAGCATCGAAGTACATGATATCTACAGGAATAGACTGTTGTATAATCTCCGATATCGAGGTATCAATTCTAGTCCAACTCGACTTCGAATCCAGTAATGGCTATACAAAGAACGTGTTGCAAGCAAATGGAAGCATCAAAATAGATGCAGTTGTACCCTTCAAGTACTATGTGTTCCACCCGCATGACACTATATATACTTTTCAAGCAATCGTGTGTTCAGTAGCTTATGATCAAAAGCTTCGAGCTGGAGATCCTATTCAAAAACAGAATGTTGAGAGGCTAACGGCTTTAATACTTAGGGACACTGAAATACAGGTGCCCAGAAGTGGTGGAAGCAGAGGTAGCTCAGGAAGTGAAAGCCGAAGGAGTCATCCAACATTCTCAGGCTCATCCATGATTTCATATACCCCATTAGGTTCAGTAGATGAACAAGATTCCAGCTCAGAAAACATTGGCGTAGATACGAAAATCAATGAGCAAAAGAGTTGGAGCCAGTACAAAGACCGGATGATATTCCACTTTAATAAGGGGGATTTTGAGGTTCTCCAACCTGGAGGGTACTATTTGAATACAGTATTGAAATTGAACAGAGCTGCTATCGATAGAGTTTTGTCACACTTGAATGTTCCCCCATCAGTGTCACATGTTATTATAAAAGTCTATGACTTGTATTCATCAGAATTTTACTCTCAATACCATGAATTGAAGAATAATTACGAGGAACTTCTATCATCCATGGAGGGTAAGTTTGATACGGAAGTTGAATGTTACATACGAACAAATACTTACAATGAAAGCCGTCATCAAGGTGGATGTCTCAGAGTTCCTAAGATGTACGAACATGGAGGAGGTGTCATCAAAAAAGATGGAGCATTGTTTTCATTTGGGTGGTATTTGATACTAGAGTGTTTAGAGAAAGATCCGGACCAGACATTCAGTTTAGAAGAAGCAACAAACCAAGTAAAGCTTCTAAGAAGCTTAGGAATTCAACACAACGACATCTACCAGAGAAATGTAATTATATCTCATGGTAGATTCAATCTCATTGATTTCTCGGAAGCCCACTTGGATGAAATTGATATTCACGGAGACTTGAAAAACTTGAAGCATGTTTGGAATAAGATTATGGACCAATCTCTGAAATCTCAAACAAGTTCTAGAATACAGGAAGAATCTCAGAAACAGAGAAATGTAGATCAAGTCGTGGATCTGAACTTTTCAGTGGATCTGGACAAGGAGAATCGTACTAAAGACTACTAAACTACTAAATAGTTCAACACCAAAGCAAATAGAATAGAGGGTAATATAAATGCAGTTTCTATTTACCAAACGTCCCTTACGATAACAATACTTGTTCGCAATTTCTCCCATGAGGTATGTGTGATGAATGAACTCCTTATCGAAGTCAACCTTACTCACAATCCAATAGTCCGTGTAATTGTCCTAGAGATGAACAGGAGGTCTTGTTTTTGAAACCACCGGCTCATATGGATTTTGAATAAAAGAGTAAACTCCATAGTGTGAATGGTCAATTAACACACTTAGAGCCTCGCGTTGAGAAATGTCTAAAAAAAAGACACCCTATATGCGACATGAGATATTTTGCAACCACGAAAGACTTTGAGAATATAACTTAAAAGTCAATTCAAAAAAAGTCACGAACAATAATTGTCAACCGCAAGAAGGCAATTTCATCAAAGAAATTTCACATGAGTATTACATAATCTTAAAGAGAAAAATCGTTCATGTCACATCTTCGGATAAATAAATCCGAGAGATCGGAATTTGAGTCACGACAAATATGAAATACGAGACAAAATAGTCGCTTACATGATGCAGAAAGTGTTGGTGTACCGCATTGTGGGTGTACGGGTGAGGTGATCTGTGTGGGTGTACGGGTGAGGTGATCTGTGTGGGTGTACGGGTGAGGTGATCT